TGACTCCCAGGACTTGATCACGACTTGACGTCTTCACACCATCACTGCCAGAGCCTCAGACTCTGGGCCGACTGTGACGGGCTGGCAGCAGCCAATGCACACGTATCTGAGGATCCACAGGTAAACGGCGCCAGACAAGGTGACAGTCAGGGCCAGGAGCAAGAGGCTGACGAGGGTCTGAGGGCTGAGCAAGATGTCGGCAGAGGAGTCCTCAGAGGGATTCTGGGCTGCAGATAGAAAAAGACAGAGAGAAAAAGGATAGAAAACAACTTGACTTATAAGGGGGTGGGGAGAAACCATGGAAGAATCAGAAACCTGTGTAAAGGAAGGTGTGAGATGATAGTAGAAGCTGCCTGTGCTAGGACAGACACAGAAACATGGTGAAAGAGAGGCTTCACGTTTGAACCAGAAGAGGAAAAGAAAAAACGCAAACGCCTCCCTCTAGTGTCCATGAGATGCCATTGCTACCTCAGAGCCACACTATTAAAACAAAGAGCAGACTTTATTTTGACATGTTCAAAAAAGAAACAGGCATACAACCTTCTCCATTTATGCCTAACTCTATTTGTTTCTGTGAGCAGATGAACAGTAAAGGTCTCAAAGAATCTCTGAAATCCTTTGACAACCTTACTTGATGGACATATTTTGTCAAGAGACAATAGATCTGAAAAGCTCCCCAAAAATGGTATCAAATTTTGAAAATGAAATCAATTTTTTTTTTTCCCTAAAATTACTCAAATTTGTTCAAGCAATAAATTCTGTTCATGTTCTGAAATGTATTATTGTCCAGCTTAAATCAGTGGGGCCACATTTAATTAACACCCTTGTCCCTAGGGGTATACGGAGGGCTGCTGGTGCCAATCTCCAGCAAATGTTTCGGGCGAGAGGCAGGGTTCACCCTGGACAGGCCGCCAGTCTGTTGCAGATCTTAAATATTTCAAAATACTTTTCACAATAAAATCTATCTTTACTAGTTTATACTGACAGTGTATTTTCGTAGGACTTTGCAAAGATGTTCCTGGAGGGAATCTTTTACAACAAAACATCTAATTACTTTACTCTGATAGTCCTAAATACGTTTCAAAAACTGGGCTTTTATAGAAGAATGACAAAACCCTCAGATCTGCGGGACATTATATGGACTATAAGCTAGCACTGCGTCTCATCATCTCCATGGTGATGGCACTTTCATACTTGACAAACTGTAAAACATTAAAGAGATATTAATATTATTGTGATTACTCTTGTCTTTGTTTACCTGTAGATATGTGACTCTCCCCACTCAGCTCCTTCAGACTAGCCAGCAGCAATTAGCAAACACCTGGTGGAAGTGCGCATCTGCTGAGCTCATTGTACGAACAACTCTTCAGTGAAATGCTCTTCAGAACGATGTTAAAGGCTTAATGGAGAGACGCTGTTGTGGTGGCGACGAAGGTGGAGCGTCGGAAAGAGCAGGAGCTTCTTAAAGAGGCAGAGTCCCAATTTCAAAGCTTTAAATTGTGAAGTCAAATTTCTTTTATGCAATGTTTGATGTATACAGCAATTTTAGAACAGCTGAAGGTAATGTAGTTACTTGATTGTTCTATAAAACGGTGCTCCATGCTTGGAAAATACATATCAACTTTTTAAAGCAACTGATTGCTTTAAAGCGTTTCTGTTTTCTGAGCTCCTGCAGGGAAACAATGAAAGGTGTCACAGTAATTAGGAAAAGAGGGATGGGGTGGAGAGGAGGAATAGGGATTTGTTTATGTAAAGGCTTCAAACATGCCACCATCTAATCAACGCTAATTAAAATTCTTGGTCAGGCCGCTTAGTCTCTGAAGGATACCAAGATGACAGAAGGAATGACTAATTAACAGCAATGTTATACTTGCTGCATATCAGGCAAACATATAAAACAAACCAAAAAAAAGTTTCATTTCAGTTTTAGTTTGTGTCATTGTGTGTGTGTTGTTTGACTTGTGGGGATGGGCATAACCCCAGCTGCTGACGGTCCTGACCCAGGACCGGGTTGTTAACGTTCTCCGTCCATCTCAGGTCTGTGACCGCTTACCCTTGGTAACTTTTTTCTTCCGGCACTTTCCATTCACAGCTCAAGGCTGCTGAAAGGACTTCCATGCTGATGATTCACAATCCCAAAAGGCACATCTCCTCTTTCGCTCTTTCAAGGCTCAGTGTTGGAGAGGCAGGGGGGAAGAAGAGGCATTCAAACGGTACAAAAAGCCCTGACAAGCATCGCGGTATGAAACATGTGGAGTATAGAAGCACAACTTTTCTCAGCCACTTATTACTTTCACGGTTCGTTAACCGTCCGGCAACACAGGAAGATGTTTGAAACGAAACCGAGGGACTCAGAGTCAGGTTGTTCTATAGAGAGACAAACCGAACACTGACCTCTAGTTGAGTGTAGCATCAGCAGCAAACAGATGGTAAACCTTCCAGATGCAGCCAACCTCATGCTGTTCTGGGTCTGTTGGGAATTCACGGCACAATTGAGAGAAATGAGATGAACCGACGAAACAGTTATGCACGGTATGAAAGTCAGTTTAAAGTGCCAGATGTACAATATGATCAACTATATTGTTATATGTGAAATGATCCGTCAGTGGCCGTAGTATTTTAGCATCCAGCATTGCAGCTTCGTTCAGCTTGTAATGTCAGTTTCTTTATTTTGAAGGAGAACACAGACCATACATTCATAACCATACAAACAATCCAGGTTCAGCAATCCAGCACATAAATAAAACAAGACAACCTCAGTCACACTGACTTAACATCAGGAGCAGTAGAAACACATATGTCTTTGAGATGTAATGAAGCTGCTGCTTGAATTTATCAAGTCCCAAAAAATCGATGGTGACCTAACTTAGCTGAAGATAAACTGTGTTATAGTAACTGATTTGTCCAAAACTTACCAACAGCTGCGTATTTTCATATGCAACAGAAACTCAAGCCAGGTATGCAAGACTGTGAGAGGAAAGGCTCCTATTAGGGGAGCCAGTTAGGGGTGTTGGATTTAAGAATATGGATGAATTTAAGTTTTATTGCAATATTTTATTACTGATTTTTTGGGGTGGGTAACTGTATGGCAGTGACAGCGAGATGAAATAATACTGCTCTTGAAAAATACTCCTATTTAGCACACCGGTCACTCACGTAAAGAAGGGTGACTGGTGACTTGTAACACTAAGCTGCACACAGTGACTGCATTTACATATTTTCTGGACTATAGAGCGCACCTTACGATAAGCCCCACCTACATTTTTTTTAAAAAGAAGAACAACGGGCAACGTGCATGTACTTGTTCTGAATGAAAATTAGCACTTTCTTTGTTTATTTCCAATTTTGACTTGCAATGATTCACTTCCAGCAGGTTGAAGAAAAATCTACAGAAAAGCGCACGTGGATATAAGCCGCGTGGTTCGAAGCTGGAGTGGGGATGGGTGGGGGGGCATCGAGGGATCTTAAATATCATCACCAATTGGAATTTATCGTGAGAAAAATGACTCAAAAATTCTGATCAGGATAAGAAACGTATCACGATAAATAAACGATAGGAAACATGCCCAATGAGATTTTCGTTAAATTAAAGATACACTTTTCTAAAAAAAAAAAAAGATTTGTATTCAATAATTGATGCCTGATTGTGATTTACAATTAAGAGTTTAATAGCAACTGTCAGCACTAAAATTTGTTAAAATCCCTCTTTGGACAAAGTAAAGTCTCCTCGTGCAATTCAAACCAAATAAATGTTATAGATTGCAAACCAACCAAACAAAGAAGGAATTTCAGTTGTGTTTTTAACTCACAGCAGAACAGGTGAAGGCTCTGTCCTCTGAAGCAGTCATCCCTCCGAGACGCAACGGGATTTCCATCACAAATGAGCAAAATGCGCTTCTCCTCCTGCGAGAGGCGAAGGAAACCTGCAGCCCACCAGCGGCTCTGACAGCAACGATCTCCCTCCAGCTGGTGAATCAGCGGTTGTCTCCGGTTCTAGGACATCGGCTCTCCCGCCGTCACTCTGCCCGCGTCCGCATCGCACCGACGCTGCTCGGCGGCCCCCCGCAGCGAGGCGACGACTCGATGGCACATGGAATCAAAGTGGGACGTGCATGTGAAGCGAGAAGTGACTGCACGTCTGTACACACACACACACACACACACACACACACACACACACACACACACACACACACACACACACACACACACACACAAAAGCTGTTAGATTATTTTTATTTATTTGTTACCCTCCCACTGGAGGAAGCAGGGAAAGATGGAAGCATATGGAGGCTGCTTCAAAAAGTCAAGCATCGTCCTCGTATCCGGCAAGCGAGTCAAATCAAGCACCGCGTGGCGCCCTCTGGTGGCCCAAAGCACAAACGCTTTGATAATTTGCGTTAATTACAGTAATGATGTGCATCTCTCGTCCTTAAATAACCAACATCCGCAGCCATCACTGCAATGTTCCCGGTGGCAAATGACGAGTCCGTTTTAGCAGCTTTCTTAGAGCCAGAAACTTTGCAGAGATGGACAGAGCGTCAAGATTTATGCGAGCGCGTCCCCCTTTCACTGGCATCCAGGAGACGAGTGGTCTTCACAGAGAAGGCCAGACATCCACACCTGAAGGAAGAGCGACGTTTGCTGAGCATCACCTGGAGGGACGATGACTGATGACAACAGAAGAAAACAAAAAACACTCTCCTACCTCCCACCCCCAAACACACGCAACTTCATTTTGACAGGATGTCACCTGATTGCGGCACACAGCAAACACCCAAGATGGACTTTCAAAGAGCAACGTTCAAAGATCGGAACGGGTTCTAATGTTAGGTTTAGGAATTGGTCATTGTATCGCACGGATGCGCTTTGAGCCAGGAGTCTGCAACCTTTAGAACCAAAGAGCTGTTTTTGGCCTCAGTCCAACCAAATGAAATTTCTCTAGAGCTGCAAATGTTATGAAAGCTTTTGTGAAAAGGCAACTTGAACATCCACAAAAAGAGGATTGATACTTTTTTAATGGGATGCAAACAAACAAACATACAAACAAAAAAACACTTAGTTTCCAATGTAATGATGGGAAAAAAAATAAATACTACTAGATTCAAGAATGATACTTGTATCATTCTTTGGTGGAAGTTTAAAGCAATGTTTATTCCAAAACTGCTGGAATCGGCATTTGCTATGTCTGTATTTTATTTTATTTTTTTAAAGTTGTTGATTCTGCTCTTTTGTCGCCAAATGAAGAGCCGCTGTGGAAAACGATGCTCGATTTCCTGCGAGCATCGTTCAGGTCTCGCTGCGTCCAAACACGTGTGTTCTGGGAGGCAGTTACTTCATGCATCATAAAGGGAAAAGGCTTTTCTGTTGCAGGACAAAAACAACGGGCATCATCAAAACAGAGACTTTGTTCTGTTCTGCAGACAGGACAGAGTGAAACATGACAGAGTTTTGTCTAATAATTAACTGATGTAAAATATAAATAAATAAATCACTCTGAAATACACAAGAGACATGTGCTTTCAGATACAGACATTTAGGACAATGAAAATATGCTCTGTGAGAAAAGAAGAGAGAAAAGTCTCACAACTGCTGACGTGCTTTTAACGGTCGCCTTTCTGAGAAGAATGCTGCCCTGGTGCCTCGACGCAGCAGCCACGGGAAAATGCTTTTGAGGTTGCTGAAGTCAATCTTAAATTGGTTGTAAAAAAAAAAACATACAATGCCCCAGTTTGTTAAAAAAAAAAAAAATTTAAAAAAAGCTTGGAGACTTGGAGGAAAAGCAAAAATGTCAGAAAACATCTCCAATAGAGTTTTTCCAGAGAGTTAGGGAAACTTCTGGATGTTATAAAGGGGAAGACTTGAAGTCGTCGCTCCATGACGCTGGTGGATCTGCATCAGTCACCGGTTCTGGCTCTGGGTTTGGCCGAGGAGCACCCGGCGCAGCCGCCGAGTCCCTTCTCCTTGGCGCTGTGGTCGAAACGAGGCAGAACGACGATCCCGCTGTCGGCCTCGCTGCGAGCGCCGTTGCTCGACGCTCTCTCCTCTTCCCCAGACATGATCGCTTTCACCAAACACGTGATGGCGCTGTCGATGTTGGTGTCATCCTGGGGACAGAGGTCAAAGGTCGGGGAAAGGACAGTGAAAGAAATGATGATTTTCTTTGTTAAATTGTTAGCTGCAGACAGGCTGAAACGTGACGTTGTGAGCGCAAGATCCTGCAAGAAAGTTCCTCACAGACAAAGAGTGCCGTTGGTTTTAGCTGCTAAGCTGTTGACATCTTAAATCTTAAATGTATGCTTATGTATGAAAAGGTGAGCAGAGTTTTGCTGTTTATTGTCCACTACTCGAAAACAAGTTGATCACATTTCATCAGCATGCAGATGTGCTGCAGAATTTGGGCTCAGTTTAAAAAAAGTAACTTATTTAAGAATCGCTCTGCTCCTTGGTGACTTATGGAAATGGATCGGGAAGTTGTAAACCTGCTAGCGACAGAGAGGTGCCACCGAATCGTCAACAGAGGTGAGGCAAGTCAATGCCGAGTTGTTTTTGAGACTTTTAGTGCTGCTTTGTGGTCAGAAACCAGCTGGTTTTAGTCGAAATGTAGTTTGCCTAATTTCCCTATTTCCCTAAGCGTTCTGTTTTTTCAAAATCCGATGGCAGCCTCTTTGAAATCCAGCAGTGTGAATTTCAAACGATGCCTTTCACTGCCACCAGTGTTTTCTAGCCCAGAAAAAAATAGCTGATATTGAATGACATACATCTATGTTTTTTACAATGAGCTTCTTAAGCATGCAAAAGGAAACTCATTCACAGTTCCTCCTCAGAGACATGAAGCAGTGTAAACATTGTGTCAGTACGATTCGCGGAGGAAAACAACAGCCCACCTTAGCAGATGTTTCAAACCAGCCAACAAAGCTGTGGTCTTGGGAGAAGTTCTCCAGCTTTGGGAGTTTGGGACACAGACCGAGTTGACGTTGGTCACACTTGTTGGCCAGCAGAACGGCTGGAACTGGCTTCCCGTTGCTCAGAGTGACCTGAATCGGAAAGGAGGAGACATGAAGAGAAAATGATTTTGAAAATCTAAACCATACCCTTACACTTTAAAGGCTATGAGTCAGTGAAGGTAAGAGGACCATGGATATGGTCCTGCTATCAAGCAGGCTTTAAAAAGTCAGCAGTTAAAAGAAAATAAAAAAATATTGTTTCTGCTGCCCACAAGTGGAAAGGAAAGCATATGACAGGTTTAAGGCAGACTAGTTCTCATTTGTTTCTTAACACCATAAAGACGTGGTTGTTTTAAAGCTCGTCATTTACGATCAGCTATAACTGTAAAAATGTTTGACTTTCTGTGAAGTTTTTTTTTTCCTGACCAACTGAATTGAAGTGAACAGTAAACAGAGTTTTTCACCTTACAGTTATTTGGTCAGCTTCAGCAGCTCTTTGTAAAACTTACTTTTGAGTCCAGGTCTCGTTTCCACTTCAGGACAGCCTGGAACGTGGCCAGCCTGGTCATGTCGAAGACAACAAGGGCCCCCAGTGCTTCTCTGTAGTAGACGCGGGTCATATTCCCATAGCGTTCTTGTCCTGTCAGGGAGACAAGATGTTTTACCAAACCAACGACTGATATCAATGTAATCAAAATCTATTAGCCTTTTTTTTTTTTTTTTTTAGATTTTAGCCTTTCTTTTTCCTCTTCTGCTATGGCTTTGTACATTGGTGTAAAGTTTGGACACTTTGCTCCAACATCGACATCCAGCTCACTGTTGCTTCCTGTTTGTCTGAACCTTCTGAATTTGAAAGGTCAAGTTTTTAAGAAGCAAAAGCTCATACAGGTAAGTCAAAGAATCAGTTTATGTACATTTAACTCTCCCCTCCTCTTGAATGTTCAAGTTTTCTCCAGAAATATCTGCATTGTGGCTGCTTGGTGGATGCAGTTGGCAGTGCTGTTGCGTCAAGGCCAGAAAGCCAGGGATCCCCATCCCAGTCTGCCATTCTACTGGGGTGATCCCAGCCAATGCGTATCTTCGGTTTAATGGGAAACCAAAGATACGCATCAACCTTAACAGTCCTACAATGTCCAGAGTCTTTGACATCTCACTTCCCTACATTGAACATCCTTACAGTTTCCAACAGGATGTGTAATAAATGCTGTATACAGATCATCTCTGGCTTTTCAATGTCAAAAGCAAGACCATTGTGGGTGGTTTATTTAGAAACAAACTTGGTCTGTAGCCCTAAAACAGAGGGGTAGCAGAGGGGACATTTTCATTGTGTTTCCTCTCACAGATTTTTCTAACAAGACAAACAAGAGAAACTGTCTTCATACTTTACTAATGTACCAGAAATGTCAAAGACACAGATATCATTACTATCTTGGAAGACATCTTTCTGAAGTCTAAAGTAGGTCTTTGTAATGCTGCATAACACATAAAAACTCCTGAATGCAGCATTTTGCAATACAGGATGGAGCTCTGGCTCCTGGATCCCCTTGTTGCCAAAGCGACGCAACATCAACAGAATTTGTGTTTTGACATCTTTTTTTTTAAATCTCTGTGTTGAACCTCAATCAGACGATCAGCTATAACTGTAAAAATGTTTGACTTTCTGTGAAGATTTTTTTTCCTGACCAACTGAATTGAAGTTGGTCAGGAAACGGATATTTTTTGTAGACCTGGTCCATCTCTGCTACCCACTTCAGGATGTGAAATGAGGCCCATTGCTATTTCCCATTTCCTGTTTCTTGTTAATTCATAACCAAATTCACAATATGAATTTCTGAAACAGTTTACTAGAAACTTCTTCAGGCCAGCATTTTCTGCATTGCTGAAATTCTCTGAGCCAAGCTCTGTTATCTTATCTAGAGATAATGAGATTTTTTTCTTTTTTTTTTTTTTGCCCCGTTCATGAACGTCACTTTTGAATTACTGCCCCTTTCGGCTTTGGTGAAGCTTTTGTAAGTGTGGCTAAAGTTTCCTCAGGAACAGGAACTGCTTCTACTGTTTTTCACACCACCGACTTACCAAGAACACAAACAGTGACAAAAACCCATCAGACCGACTTATAGAACGATGCATGTGTCACTGTTGAATGTTACACACACACACACACACACGCACGCACGCACGCACACACACACACACACACACACACTCGCACGATGTATAAATAAGTCTTTGTGCGAGTCACTAACTTCCTCCACATGATCTTAATACAGAAGTGAATCAGCAAGAGATACACATCCACACACACACACACACACACACAAACACACACACACACACACACATACACTTGGCAATTATACACACATGACAAGATTGTGTCTGACAGCTAAACAGAGCCAGTTTAACTGGTTTAAACTGTTTTCAGTCTTTATGCTAAGCTAACATGCTAGTAGTAACAAATCCATCAATAATTTGAATGAATAAACTTCAGTGAGAGCATTGAACAGAACAATGATGGGTTGTTGTGTATTATTTTTGTATTTTTTCTTTTACCTAAAAACTCAAACAAATAGCTGCTAAGTATCTGACGGGGATGAACCAAAATGAAAATTTGACCCAGTGTCGACGTACGATGCATTAATTTCACCGTTATGGTCAACAACCCATATTCATATAAAAATATCGCATTGCTGACAACAGCTGCCTTTCCATTGATCACATAAACGCACAATATAAATTTGCTTGCTGGAAACAACGTAACTTTGAAAAAAAATTCAAATAAAAGCTTCTGGCGCTAAGATAAAGTCGTTTTCGCGAACATGCAGAAATTGGTTGATTTCTCTAAAGTGCGACGGAAACACGGCTCACATGATCAATAACCGGATGTTGCAACTGGACCAAGCGACAAAGAAGAAGATGACAGGAAGTAGTTGGAGGATGGCAACACGGAATGTTTTATGATGTAAACAAACTTATTTGCGAGATGCAACAATCCAAACGCACTGGCTCGTCCCTGCCGATGCAAAGTCTTCTTGTGTCACCTCGACTGCACCTCTTCATGCAAATTGCAGCTCCTATCTGCTAGGACCTGACTCAGCAGCCAAGCCAACAGGACATACATGTAACATGTCAATGAAGTGAGGGACGACAGTTGTGAAGACAGCAGTGACACAGTTCCCAACATTGCAATTGGCTGCAGGAGGAGGAGACATGCTGGATTCGTTATCTGAACACGGGAGGCTTTTAACTTGTACATTAGCAGAAATGGTGGCTCACCGCATGTTCTTGGTGCTAAGTGTGACATGACGCCCCGTCACTGTTGGATGTGTCAGCGAGATTTGGTCAGAACTCTCAGAGGACCGCATGGTTCATAAAAAGCTGAATATTTTTGAATCCACAGCTCTTTAGCAAAATGGCCGACGAGTAGCCGCTCTGAAAGGGCTTTTGCTCCAACGCCTGTAATTATAATTCAGTCATTACATCCATGTCTGAATCACGAATACAATCATGCAGCTGTTTACATTCCTACACGCCACTTTCCTAAATAACTTATGGAGTGATTGTGTGAAGAAATTTCGATTGAATTCCTTCTTGAACGGAAATACCGCGATTACGCAATTATTATCAGAACATCGAGTGAAAGAATCTGCAGACCTTTGTCCTGAAACGATCTGTTGGCGATCCATCCCTTATTCTGACATGTGAATCATATTGGTAAACAAAGATCCAATATGCTCTCCTCTCAGTTTCCTCTCTCAAAGTTATTTTCTGCTCATGCAGCGTCTGCTGTATCCGTCCTGATAATCTCATCACCATTGAGCGTTCAACGACCAGGAGGAGCTGATCCTGGAGGTATAATACACTTTTTTTTGTGGGGTGGGGACTCACCAGCGATGTCCCACAGCTGCAGCCGCACCACCGTCTTGTGATCCCAGTTGAGCACTTTGAGGGCAAAGTCCACGCCGATGGTGGCCCTGTAGTGCTGGGAGAACACATGGTGGACGTACCGCTTTATGATGGACGTCTTACCCACGCCCAGGTCGCCGATGACCAGCACCTTCAGCAGGCGCTCCTGCTGCATGGCGGGACGGGACGGGACTGGACGGGACGGGCCGATGGGTCCAATTCGAGATCCTGACGATCCGAAGTCACGCGTTCACTGATTATCCACTAACGTTCGGGCTTTTGAAAATGGAAATAAAGTGTGAATACTTAGAGCTGTGTAGAGGCGTTCCTTGTTCCTGTGGACGCAGGAACAGTTTGTTGTTGTTTTTGTCCCGTTCAGTTTCCTTTGGAGGAGGTTAAAAAGACTGACGCAGCCCAGAGGCAAGAAACGACCGGGAGAGAGGAGACGCCGTGCGGTCAGTGAAGCGCTCGGTCCGCCCTGCAGCCCGGTCCGCCGTTCTGCAGGGCGCTGTGCGGTGACAGGCCGGGCTGTCAGCACTCTGTGCGGGGGGACAGCCGCGCCACGCCCCCCGCCCTCCCTCTCGGCCCCGCGCTCTCAGATGCAGCTGCAGATATTTACATACACTTCACAAAATGACACGTAGCCATTTTTTGTTGTTGTTTTTTCTAATTGAAATTTTGAATGTGCGTCTTTAAGCAGTTTGGGACAATAAGAACTTGACTTAACAAAGTTCTAATAGCTTGAATAGCAGTTAACTTTTATAATAGTCATGTCTTTTACATACTTGCTCAAATTACCTTGACAAGGTCTGTCATGTCAAATGATTTTTCTGGATGATAAATTGTCCCCAGAAGTTATTGCGATAAGCGATAATATTGTTGTTTTTGAGACCGTTTTCAGGTAGCATTATGGTATCGGCGTCACGATGGTGCAGCAAGACATTCTCAAAGATCAATGAAAAAAACAACAATTTTCAACAAATTTGAAAAACCAAAGACAAAAGCAAAACAACGCAAGTAGAAAATAAAATCAATTATGAAGTCTCTGAGCAAAATTTCTCTTCAAAATGGTTGAGACCAGTAAGACTTGTCATCGAGTTTTTAGCGAGACGAGGTCGGTGCACTTCAGAAACGAGCTGGGATCATCAGAAGAGAACATTAACTGGAAATGTTGAGGCCATGTCTCAAGAAATCAGCCAGGAGGTCAAAGGTGGGAAACCTGAGATCTTCCAGATGGACGGCGAATCTGTGCATATCACAAAAAAAACAAACAAAAAAAACACACACAAAAAAAACAGTTACATGACTTGAGAGCAACAAAGTCAAAGTTTCAGAGCAGCCATTGCAAAGTCAACGTTTCAGGCTCAGAGAAAATTTGTGGGCAGAGTTTTAAAATGATTCCTAAAGCAAACTGGACCCAGTCACACCAATTCTGGAAAGAAGAAATGGGCCCAAATACCAACAAGCTATTGTGAGAAGCTTGTGGAAAAAGACCCAAAACATGAGTGGTGAGACATTTCTCTTTATCCTGGCACTGTGCACATGGAGATGATTTTGTTAAGCTCGGTTTGGTTTAGTCTGTTTCATACAGTGTATGCGGATAACAGGTTTCAACTGCACACGTGTGAAATCGTTTTGTCAAAAAGTGTGAAGCCTATATCCTGTGTAACAGCACAATCACACATAGGATGATGTAAAGTGACAACATGAGGGCCTTCGAGGCTGCAGCTGAAGCTCTTCCTGTTTTTCACACCAACAAGGCAAGGCAATCTGTCCGTAGCGCACCATTCGTGAACAAGCTAAGTGCTATAGTGTTTTAAGTAACTTATATATATAAGTGTCCACTAAAATGGACAAAGGTCAAAATTCAAATTTAAAATACATGGGAAGATGGACTGAAAATTGTTGGGTTATATTTAAAGTTAAAGGTCACAGTTATGTCTTCATTTATGATTTGATGGTGTCAAAAGTTTCTGCACTTCAGGTCGTTAACTTCCTTTTGCGCCCCCACATGTTCAGTTTTGGTACCGCAAGTATTTTGGACAAATTGCTTTTAAAAATGCAATAATTAGTTTGCAGAATCCAAACTAATTAGTATCTTAAAGAGACCTGCATAGAAACTGTTACAATGATTTAAACTCCAAATAAATACAAATAAATGCACAAATTCTGGTTATGTCTTTAAGATGTTAGTAGGTTGATTTAGTGATAAACACATGACTGGACATACTGATTCCCAACCTGTTTAGGGCCATGACTTTGTCTTTTCTGTTTTAAATTGTGACAAAACATATCACGTTGTACCACTGTTGTTATTAACACAGTCAATTTGTTCACATAGAGGTTGTGATCATTTAATTACAGCATTTAAAAGTGTGTCATTAGGACCAGGCACAGCAAGAAAAGTTCTAGTTTTCTACTGTCTAAAGCAGGGGAGCATAAACACACTAGATATAGCTGGCCCGTTAACAGAGCCTTGAGGAACCTCACATGCAATCAAATCTAAAGTATCCTAACTGAAGTAAAGATAAATAGAAGAGCGCTCTATTATCTTGATTAAATTAAAACAGCTAAATTGTCTCTTGAAAACAGAAGAGGTGATTAAAGTCAGACAGTCCCACAAAATGTCATGTATTGTTTTCCTTAATCAGACTGTCTTATGTTCCTTCTATATTCTTTCATTTTCTTTGTCCTCTCAGTGCTGTCTTTTCCTTTCTGAACCACAATGGCATAGTCTGTTAACAAATTACATTAAAAGCATAAATGTGAACAATGTCCTGTCTGTTAGCACCAATCTACTGTTTTTCTGTTTGTACAAATTGTTTTCAGAAAAGCATTCACTGCCTTGCAAATGTCAAAAATGACTCAAGAACCGCGTCGAGGCGACTGGGTAAAAACTGGAATGTTGTTATTCCTTTGTAAAAAGAAATGAATGATGAATGGATTTTAAACAAACAAAATAAAAGAAACTTCAACAAACCCATAATAATAATAATAATAATAATAATAATAATAATAATAATAATAATAATAATAATAATAATAATAAAAACGTTTCAAATGTGAAATCCAGTCAACGATGAAACAAGAATGACACTTTTAATCAAGCAGCCAAGGTCCTGGATATGAAGCTGAATCCATAAATACTGGAAAAGGCTTCCACAATGTGTGATTAGTTTATTATTGTACTTCAATTTGTTATCAGTCAGCCTAGCTAGCTATGTAGCCAGCTACCTACTTACTTAGCTACATTGCTAACTATCTACTTAGTTAGCAATGTAGCTAGCTACCTATTTATTTGGCTACATAGCTGGCTGTGTAGCCAGCTATCTACTTACTTAGCTACATTGCTAGCTAGGTAGATAAATCAGGCACTTTGATGCGGGAGGAGAAGAAGAAACTACAATTCCCAGACGGTAGTGAGTGCGCAAGACCGGTAAACCTTTCCGGAAGTGCGCATGAAGGAGTGAGCGTAAAGACTGTAGTGAGTGCGCAGCTCAATTCTTCAGTACGGCCGAGATGTTTAGAAACAAATGAAAGACAGATTTCAGTTGATGGAAAACTGCCACAGAAACTTCTCTTTTTTTCTTTTTTGTTTTTAAACCGAATTTTTTTTAATCCTTTGGCCACATTGTCTTCTGATAGTGCGTCAACCTTTGTTTAGTATAAAAGTACAAAACACGTGTAATTTTCTAACGTGCTTAGAAAGGAAACGTACAGAAGCTGTGCGTTACTAGGAGTAAAATACACAACTTTATAATTCCAGGTCTCCTTGGACATAAGATGGGGAACCTTCCGCGAAAACGGGGAAACTTTCCTACCCTCTCTCCATCTCCGCTCCGTTCTCGTTGCGCCCCTACGCGCTTCTTTACGGTAGTGGTACTGATGCGGGATGAGTCAGGCTGTATGATGCTACTGCTGCTGCTGCCGCCGCTGCTGCCGTCGGTCTCTGCTGCCATTTCATCTGCTGTCGATTAGCTCTAAACACCAGAAGGAATTTTTCGGGACCCCCCATCACAACCACCACCTCCCGCCCTCACAGCCTGGTTCCCCCACCCCACCACCCCTCCAGCCCAGCCGCCCCTCTCCCTCAGAGGCTGTTGACAACGAGGGGGGCTCAGTTTGACCCGGACTTCCGCAGGATCCGTGTGTGTGTTTTTTTTTTTTTTTTCAAAAAAAAAAACAAAACACAATAATAGCTCTGGATGCGCTTCTGTCTGAGCTGTCCGAGGCAGACAGGGGGGCCCTGACCGTAAGAGACGGAACCGCTCCGGACTCCGGCGTACCAGTGTGTGTTTGTACCTACTGATAGAAACTGATAGACGGAGTCCCCAGATTTTTTTTTTTTTTTTTTTTTTTTTTTGCGGCCTGAGCGTCGAACCAGTCCGACTTGTTGGTGCCATGGAGCTCTCATCGGCCTGGTCCTGAACGGCAACACCGGCCTAAAGCGGACCCACTCCTGCTGCAAGTAGGCACAGTTCTTCTTTTTTCATAAACAATATACGTTTGTATTGATGAACTTAACTTAGTAGCCATATAGCACTTAGTCACTTTAAAGTGACTGAAATCAACAAAACACATTTGTGATTTGTTGGGCAGCTCATTAAATAAGCCCTTAAAAATCATTTAGAGATCATTCTGGCAGGTTTCACTAGAGCAGGCTGGTCAGCTGTCCTTTATCTGCTCCTGTTGGACATTCTGGACAGGCGTTTCTGGACCTCATCAGGAACAAGAGCTCGGAGGCCGCTCTATTCACCAGGGACTCCAGCTGCTAATGTTTGCACACTGACTGGGCCGTGCAACCCGACTCTGCCGGAGAGCAGGGCTGATGGGAGGCTTCATAGAGCTGGCCCTCTGCCCGCCTGGCGGCCTGATACCGATCAGATAGATTGTGAGTCGACATTAAAGGAGGTTCGCTTTGAAAATTGAGGAAACTCACTCGATTTCAAACAGAAAACACACGTTTGTCGCTGCAGTGTTATAATAATTTCCTTTAAAAGGGACGGTGTTGTGCAAAAGCTACTCTTCTGAGCTTTACCTCATGTCGCAATGCTATTCCCACATCTAAAACATAACTGGAGTGTTGCTCCTGACTTCATGAATCCTGTAATCTCCCCCGCTCAGCTCCTTCAGACTAGCCAGTAGCAATTAGCAAACACGTGCTGCAACTGCGCATCTGCTGAGCTCCTCATAGGAGCTACTTCTGACGTACTTTTAATGTTGTTAATAGGATTAATAAAGGAGCGTTGTGATGACTTCCTGAAGGAAAAGCAGGCATTTCTTAGAGGCAGAGGCCCAATTTCATGGTAATTTACAGAGTAAAATTTCATGAGCCCTCCCATGGTCTTAAGAGCTGAAACAATATGGACCCCAAAAGCTTTTTACTCTATGCGTAGTCCGGCGGAGACCGAGTGGGCTTTTACAAGGTTTTTATTTTGTGTGTGTGTGTGGTTTTGGGAACTGACGGTCTGACGGTACAACTCCTCACAACCCCTGAAAAATCACCACAGCATTTTTAGAACAGGTAACGCAGTTACTTGATTGTGCTATAAAATAGCAAATGCTTGGAAAGCACACTGCACTGCCCCTTTAAATAATAGCCCTTTCTTCCATAAACTTCAACCTATTTAATTACAATTTTACGCAGCAGACTGAGACAAATTGTCACACAACTACACAACTTGGGAGTAGAATGAAAACAATGCGTGGTTTTCAGTGCTTTTTTATTTTTACTTAGAAAGCAGTTTGTGAACTCATTTGACTTTACAGTTATTGCCCACTTTCTGTTGGTGTTGTGCATAAAACCCAATAAAATGCAGTGACATTTGCCCAAGAGTTATAAATACTTTTGGAACGCCCTGTAGATTTTGTTACTTATAGATACCCTGGGTGGTCATTTTGCCCTTCAAACAACCTCCTACTTTACAAGAGCAATTCTAAACTAAAAATAAAGTTCATAACAGCTATGAAAAGAAGAAAGAAATTTCACTACACATCATGTTTCTTTCTGCTTTCCTATGTCAGGACAGAGAGAACACATTTCTTTCCCCCAAAGCAGATCATTGATCACAAAGTTCAGTTTGTCAGCAGCTCACATGAGGGTGAAAGTCTTCAGTTATTGATCGACTACATCAGAGATCATAACTCGTGACCAGTAAGTGGCAGAAAAAGCCAAGAAACAACACAACATGTCACCCGTTTGCCGCAAAAGTCGATACGTGGCAAAATCGAGCATCCAAACTCCCGCCGTCTCTGGCTTTGTCCCTTCAGAGCCGCCGTAGCTCCCGACGTGAGGCGTCAAAAACACAACGGACTCTGTTCTCATGGGTTCCTGCCGCCACAATATTCAGTCGTTACCTCCGGGCTGTAATGAAATCATGCAGAAAAGACGACGCAAGCTACTGATGAGATCACAGGGGAGGTGTGACGACATGGGCAAGCATCCATTTGATGAACAAATCAATCAGATAATCAATGGAAAAGATACGCTGTGGTTGTGCCTGGTGTCTGCCGTGACTCTTATCTGCACTCCGGTCCCAGCGGCTGCCGCCGATTTGCAAAACAGCATCGGAAGTCTCCAAAAAAGCAGTGAGAACAGCGAAGCGCTGTGGTCTGTTGACAGCAACGAGACGAGAAAAACAACAGAGTTCATCTGAAAGCTGTAAAGTTGCTGCTACTGACATGTAATCTGTATAGATTACTCTGTCTTAAAACTCCAGCAGCCTACAAATGTGTTTAGTAGATTTTCTTTCTACTAAATAATTTTTTTTTTTTTTACACATCACAACTCAACTCAGCAACACAGCAAACTTGTGCGCAATTGTCACATTAAGATTTTACATGAAAATAACATATATACAACTTTCGATTGTATATATTTCGATTTTGTCGTGAATGCTAAGGCGAGTCAGCACGGCCAACTGTGACATATATATATATATATATACAGTATATGATGCTGGACTGTCTCAGGGGCCTCCTTGCACAACCTACACCTTGGGTCTTGTCCGGTGTGGTAGATCTGGGCCTCTATTGTTCTGGTGTTTAGGGCCTGTTCCTGGGCGGCCAGGATGAGGGCCTCTGTGCTGTCCTTGAGTCCAGCCTTTTCCAGCCATTGGTAGGATTTACTGATATCAGCCACTTGGGTTATTTGCTGGTGGTATATATATATATATATATATATATATATATATATATATATATATATATATATATATATATATATATATATATATATATGTATATATATATATATATATATATATATATATATATATATATATATATATATATATATATATATATATATGATCCGCACAGAAGGAGTCTCACTCCCACAAGGAACAATAGCAGACATAGAGGACAGTTACAAGTACCTAGTACATGGAAAGACATAACCAAGTGGCAGGCATAGTGTACAGAAACATCTGTGCAGAATATGGACTGGAAACCCCGAGATCAAAGTGGGAAACACCCCCAAAGGTGGTGGAGAACGCCAGAGCTAAGATCCTGTGGGACTTCCAGATCCAGACAGACAAAATGGTAATGGCGAACCAACCAGACATTGTCGTAGTGGATAAAAATCAGAGGAAAGCCGTTGTGGTAGATGTAGCAAGTAATTGCAACATCAGGAAAAAGGAGCACGAGAAACTGGAGAAATACCAGGGCCTCAGGGAAGAACTGGAGAGGGCCTGGAAGGTGAAGACCACAGTGGTGCCTGTGGTCATCGGGGCCCTCGGGGCAGTAACCCCCAAACTGGAGCAGTGGCTACAACAGATCCCAGGAACAACATCAGACATCTCAGTCCAGAAATGTGCAGTCCTTGGCACAGCCAAGATACTGCGCAGGACCCTCAAGCTCCCAGGCCTCTGGTAGAGGACCCGAGCTCAGAGGATAAGAACCACCTGCGGTGGGTGAGAAGGGAATTATTTTTATATATATATATATATATATATATATATATATATATATATATATATATATATATATATATATATATATATATATATATATTATAGCTGTTGTTGTTGTTTTTTTTTAATGAACAAAAATGGGCACATTTGCAAATTTAGCTGGAGTGGGTGCCCACATCTGTGTTCCTGCCCTGGGCCCACACATAGCTAGGACCACCTCTGCTCTCCAGGTGTTGCAAGAACAAACTGCGGAGTCAAGCTGACGTAATAAACGATATCATTGAAACTTTAGTGTTTTCTACTCTACAAATAAATTCGAGGATTCCTGTCAGCTGAAGCAATAAACAGGATGTACTATAAGATTTGCTTCCGCCTTGCTGCAGCCGAACAGCTGACGGTCTAACCGGTGGGGGGGGGGGTATACTCTCTTTTGTCTCTCGCTCAAGCTCGCGCCGACGCGCGCGCACCTCGGCCGCTCCACGCCTCGGCAGCAGCAGCGCGCGGAGCGCCGCAGTCGTCATGGAGGCCATCTGGCTCTACCAGTTCCGCCTCATCGTCATCGGGGACTCCACGGTGGGCAAGTCGTGTCTCATCCGGCGGTTCACGGAGGGTCGCTTCGCCCAGGTGTCCGACCCCACCGTGGGCGTGGACTTCTTCTCCCGCCTGGTGGAGATCGAGCCCGGGAAGCGGATCAAGCTGCAGATCTGGGACACCGCGGGGCAGGAGCGCTTCAGGTGAGGGGAGGAGACCGACCGGCTGGCAGGCAGGCGGGCAGGCAGGCAGGCGGCTGGACACGCTGAGCAGATGATGTGAGCTCGTGCTGTGTCTTTGTAATCCTCCGGTGTGGACTGGAGTCACGTGAGGGCTTATTTGCCAGCTGATGCATCACTGTGATTCCAGCTTTAAGGCATCTAACATGAAAATACTCTTATGAACACAAGTTACAGAATAAGCTCCTTCACACGCAAAAAAAAACAAACAAAACAAATAATTGCCCTAAAAATGTTGAAGTGACTTTGCCAAGTCTATATGAAATTGCACTTCATTGTGATTATGAGCTTCTGGTTTCTCTGGAAACTCACAGAAAGCAAAACTGAACGTTTCCCAAGTAAGTGAGGCTAAATAGATGCTTGTTTTCCTTCTCGAGATTGTTCTGTTCACGAATCTGCAGATGTGTGTTCGGTGAAGGGCGGCAGGACGCCTCATCGCTCAGGTTTTTCTGGATGAAGCGAGCAAAGTGCGTCCAGACGGCCCGACCAGACCAGACCGAGCCCAGACGTCCAGGGAAAGATTCGTGGGAAAAGTAGAGTCACAATGAACGAGCACATGACTTTCTCACTTTGGAGGAGAAAAGAGGAACCCGAGGCCCAATTTAAACCCCGATTTATCCAGAAACTGAAACTGCCATCTGTTGTGCAACGTTTCGTCACGGCGGTTTGGATTTAAGAGGAATGCAGAGCAGCAGTCTGGACAGGCGAACATCCTTTCACGGACAAATCTTTAATTGACCTTTGACCTGTCTGTACAGTGGAATTTGGTTTAATTGATAATGAGACATTTGAAAAAAAAAAACCCAACAGAATTCATGTTCCACAGAGTTACAAGCATTAAGATATACATATATATATATTTATATAAGCACAGCTGGAGTTATGGCTGTCAGATTTGTTACAGTAAGCAGCAAATCAGTTAATCGCACAATCAATTCAAACGTTTCCTTGATTTATCGTTTTCTCTTTTCTCTCTCCTAACAAAAACTGGTTAACGAAAGTCTTCAGTCTGGTGCTTTGGTCTCAACTAGCCCCTTTTTCGAAGGTCAATTTTGCTCACAGAGTTCATAATCCATCAATTGTTTTGCTGTTGCCATTATGCTATCTGAAAATGGTTTCAAGTCAGCAATATTATCGTTTATCGCTATAACTTCCAGAGCAATGTATCATACAGGAAAGTTAATGTTTAAAGATCATGTTACTAGCATGAAAAAATAGTTTTGATACTCGATGGCAACAAAAATCCATGCATATATCTAATATATTGAAATTATTCAGTACAAGTGCAATAGAAGACCAAAGTGTTGGCACAGTGTTTTCTACCTTCCTGTATGAGCGAGCTGCGCCACATTTCAAATGCTATCCTAGACAGGAAGAACAGCTACACCTTTTGTTTTATATTAATTTGTTTGGTTTTATTTTCTGAAATGCTGCCCCCATCAAAACGGCAACAAATTTTGAAAACCGTAAAAAAAAAAAAAAAAAAAAAACGGAACTTAATATTCTTTTCTCTGTTTTGTTTCCTCTGTGATTATTTTTTTTTAATTTCCAAGGTCAATTTTTAAACCTGTTTGCTTTCATTGATCCATATTTCCTCATTTCTGTCATCGTCGACAGCACAGGACAGAGTCTGCAGACTATAAATGGCCGCTCAGTCGCGGCCGCATGTCAGAGCGGCTGAAACGCGTCTTCACCCTCATCGCCGAGTGACGAAGAGGATGACTGCCACCTGCCTTTATCCTGAGCGTTTCCATGTCGACAGCCCCGAGAGACCAAACGAGCGTTTTCCCATAATGTCTTTCAACTGCTACTTAAAATTGGACGCGTCCTCGCGCCGTAACACATGAACAGAGCCGCGCTTTAATCTGACTCTGTGTGGCCGTCGACTGACGCATCCTGTAACCATGGATATGATTCACAACTATATTAAGAATCCGACTGTTCTCCTAAATCTGACTTCCTAAGTCAGTGTCAGTGGTTTACGTGAAATTTCGGACAGTTTGTGATCTTTGTGTCGGTTTACGTTGGACCTGGTGAAATTCTGGCTCAGTTCTATAAAGCTACAGCAAAATGGCGTCAGGCTGTCAATCGTAGGTGATGTGATTTTATTGCACAGCTGAATTTGCCCATTTTCCCGTCACGTTGCCCTCTTCTTTCCTCGGTGACGCAGATATTTTAGTCAGAGTTGTTTCTTCTGCATCTTTCCTGCTTCCATATATATACCTGTATAAATTAAGCACACGTGTCAAATCAAGTGACTCACTTCTTTACAGGTCGGGCTTTTTCCGCCTCCCCCACACACCCGTTCTTTCCTACCGCGTTCTCCCAATCGACTAATCCTCACCTCTTGCTTTTTTTTTTTTCTCCTCTCAATCTCAAGCCTATAAATGGCCTTCCTCAGATAGCTGTTATAAAGTATGACGGGAAATAAAAAAGGAATCAGGAGAAGTTCGTGTCCCTGGAGGCCTGTTAGATTCTGCTGAAAGTGAGCAGCTTCGCCCCAACAATCCAACTCGCTCTGCAGTTGCTGAAGACGTTCACACGGCCCAACTGGGGATTCAAACTTGCAAAATTTGTTGCATCGTCAGCCGCTGCGGTTCGCGTCCACAGTGCACCGCATCCAAACCATCCAGACTAAATGAGAAACCTGTTCACCTCCTCGCCTGTGGTGGCGCTGCACCAAGAATTATTGAAGGAAACAACAGGAAATCGTCTGAAATGTGTAAACTACACAACTTTGTCGAAGTGTATACCATGACATCAATGAAACATGGGATTTAAAAAAAACAAAAAAACTTTTCTTTACTGAAGTTATTACGGAGTGAGAATTCAATAAAAGTACTTAAGTGCAAAAGCAATAAACCCAAAAAGTCAGTCCCACATGCCAAAAATCAAAGGCAGTGAAAGCGTCTTTGTTTCGTTCCGCTGCACAGGTCCATCACCAGAGCTTATTACCGTAACTCTGTGGGCGGGCTCCTCCTCTTCGACATCACCAACCGCCGCTCCTTCCAGAACGTCCACGACTGGCTGGAGGAGGCGCGCAGCCACGTCCAGCCGCACAGCATCGTCTTCCTGCTGGTGGGCCACAAGTGCGACCTTGAGGCGCAGCGCCAGGTGAGAAAACTGGCTTCTTTTAAAGATAGGTCGAGACAAAGAAGTGTGACGGGAAATATTGTTTTTGTAAAGGTTTTCTTTGAAAAAAAAAAGAATAAAACGCCATTTGCAAAAATTATCCCCCAAAACATTGTTTTCAAAGATGTTTCGATCTCGCAGGTGACCCGGCAAGAAGCGGAGAAGCTGGCCGGGGCGTACGGCATGCGCTACATCGAGACGTCGGCGCGCGACGCCATCAACGTGGAGCACGCCTTCACCGAGCTCACCAGGGAGATCTTCGCCTTGGTGCGGTCCGGCGACATCACCATCCAGGAGGGCTGGGAGGGCGTGAAGAGCGGCTTCGTGCCCAACGTGGTTCACTCGTCGGAGGAGGTGACCAAGAGCGACCGCCGCTGCCTCTGTTGAGGTTTTTGAAAAGGGAGTGGACGCCGATGACGGACTGAACTGTCGGCCGTCCAGACGGAGGAACTGTACTTCCTTAAGACTGAATGCGGATTTGGACGGGTGGGGTTAACTCGGCGAACTCAGCTCTCGGTGTCGACGAACATCGTAACAAGTGGAGGACTTCGAGGGATGGATCCATCTCTGTACATGTTTTTCGTTCTCGGAGGGGGCAAGGGTCAGAGTTGTTTGGACTGGACTGCTTTCCCAGAACCTCTCGCAAAAGGCCTTAGAAACCGGATCTGTTCAGATGACTTTATCGTTTTGATTTCTGCCATTACCTCCTTTCCATCAAACACCTCTCAATATGCAATTTTATGATCACATAACAAGAGATCTCATCTTTCTTTACTCGTTTCGTCTAAAGCACCATATAGCGTCGTTTGGTCATGTCCTCGGCATTAAAGCTGTTTCTCCTTCGCCCACATGCTGTTTCACATTCCAGAAATCGATAGAGGAGTCCTGGAGGTCTTAGAAAAAACTCTGACCTATCGCTCTACTACCTTACAAAAGTATTTATATCACTGACACTTCTTTGTTTTTTCTTATTTTCAACCTTACCACTACTAATTGAAATTTAATTGGGAGTTTTTGTTTTGGGACAAACATGAAGTGGAAGTAAATGGTACAGTTTTCATAGGGGCTCTGCACATCCTTTAAAGTCTTAAATTCATGTATCTAAATATCTTAAAAGTCATTAAAAATGTAAGTTGGCCTCAATCAATCGAGGCAAGACTATTTGATCTGGCATACACTATCTAGTTTGAGTCACAGACATCTTCGTGGTAGCGGTTGAAGCTATCACTAATTAGCTGCTAATGTAGCCCTGCTAGCTCGCTAGGTTTTTTCGTCTTTCATGGGTGAGTGGAAATTAATTGCCAGTTTTCTGGATAATGTTCGTCTTCGCCTCTGGCTCACTTCTGTTGCTAACCAAAAAAAAAAAACCCTTGGCCTTACTTCTATATAAAATATGCGATGTTCTCGTCTAAACTTCTGTCTTAAATTTTATTCATATTATCCCTGGTTGGGTCTTAAAAAGTCTTACATTTGAGTTGCTGAAACATTCAGAAACCCTGTTTCAAATCTGATTTGCATTCAACCCTTTCCTCTCTGCTATCCCTGAATATTATCTACCTAAACTGGCTGGGCTTGTGAGAAAAGTGCTAATCCAAAACACCCAAGAGGCTTATTCTGTCTTTGGAGGAGCAGCAGAGATCCTCAACTCAGGTGGGACCTTGTGTTAACAGGTCAGACAAGTATCAGTAGTGCACTCCGCAAAGCTTTGTTAAGACACTCATAGGTAGTTTAAAGTTCGCCACAAGCCATGGAGGGAATACAACAAACGTGCGGAACAAACGTGTCAAAAGCTGCTATAGACATAGGCCCAGTCAAAGCCCAGACCTAAATAAAAAAAATAAATCAGTGACAAAATTTTAAAGATTGACGATTCAAGACTTTCTCCATCCAATCTTTCGGAACTTGAACTATTTTGCAAAGAAGAATGGACCATTTCAATTGCAAATGTCCAACGCTGGCAGAGACATGCTGCAGGAACAAAAGGTGGTTTTATAAATCAGGAAGTTGCTAATGAGAAGATTAGGAAAGAGGGCAACCAAACTCCTCTTTCCACCAAGCCACAGTTGCTCACAAGGTGTCCTCTTGGGTACTACATTGTCTTGGTCCGTCACATAAAACACACAATCTTTTTGGAGAAAAGACATAGTGGGCAATAAAATACTTTTGCAAGGTATGAGACCTCCAGCGAACTCGATGACATTGACCTGGTCACATTAGCCGTCTGTGTAAAAGTCATGCAATAACACGACACCTCCCAGTTGTTCGCAAAGGACTCTAACTGCACGAAGACAAGTGCACTCGAGGAGGTGGAGCTGTGGACACGTCAAACTGCTTCATCGGACACACCGGGTGGATTTGTTGAACTCTCTGTTTGGAGCAGGAAAGCACCTTAATAGTCGAGTCCGTCTACACAGGGAAAGCCTTATTTGGTATACTTCAGTTCCCCGAGGCCAAACCGGCAGAGACGGACTGATCACATTAACGGACACTCGACGAATGGACTCCATGGCATCACTACGTAACCAACAATGCACGCTAAAAAAGAGGGGGAAATTTTTATTATTATTTTTTTAATCGCCGCAAAGAAATCCGACCAGCCCGACGCGGTTCACGAGATTCAGTTCTGTTCAGTACAAGTTGCTTTAATCTGTGGAAATGCAGTGTCGTATGTGACTTTTATCACCGCTTCAGTTGAAACCCTGCATTTTTACCTCGCCGCCATGTTGGCGAGGTAAAAATGAAACGCTCCCAAGACTTAAACTGCTTTAAATTTGGTTTCTCAAGACACAGATTTCAAAGCACCTTATCTTTACCTAAATTTGATGATTACATTTCAAGATGCGTTCCAACCCCTGACATGAAAATTAAAGAAATAATGCTTATATATTGTGAACATCTTTTTTCTTGCCATCTCCTAGTCTTAGTTGTGCAACATGACAACATGAACGCAAAGAAAAAGGGGGGAAAAAATCCTTCAAACTGCTGTTTTAAGGTTTTATATTTGAAGACAGATGGTAGAAACTAGTTTTTAACTCTCATAATAGTGCACATGTGGGAAGCCATGGATCATTTAACACTTGGTAGTCATTTCACAAGAAAGAAAAACTGCACGATTAGACTTTCTTCATCCTTGATTAGCCGTATTTAGGGAGATCCGTTTACAAATCCAATTGCTTTCAAACTTGGAACTTGAACCCAGATTAACTGGGTTTGATGTGAACGATTTTCTCCGATGCCGAAAGTCAGTTTCAGCAAAAGTCATCCAAAACCTACAAGACCCGGGTCTAAGAAGAAAACATAATTAAAATGTTTAATCAAAGTAACCTACTTTAAGATTTCAGAATCAACATTTTTGTTTTACGTCAGACATAAAAATGTTGCTTTAAAAAAGCAACTAGAACCAAACTTTTCTATTGTCTTTATCGATTCTTTTGTTCCTGGTGATTAGTTTGTGTTTGCCTAGAAAAGAGTAGCAAAGTCATCCAAAATAACGTACCAACGCTGGCGAGTTTGAAAAGCGTGTCTTCAACGTTACCAAGTCTTATAAGTGCTGAAGTCCGTTTCTACTTTTCACGTGAAAAATATTTTGAAACTCGGCTGGAATGCCATCCACCGTCTGAAAAGATAAGCACAATAAGAGCAGTCACTCCCAGGGAAATGCAAATCCGCGTGTGAACCAAGCAACCACACAACGGTCGAAGCCGTCATCCAGGAAGTAGCTTCTTTTCAGGAAGTGCTCTCAGCAGCTGACTGGAAACCATTCATGGTGATGAACCTCAGCATCAGAAGACCATGTGTGTCACGCTGCTATTATAAAACCACCAGTAAGTTTCCTTCTTCAAATCGTTTCCCTTACAGCCGTTTTCATGACATTTGCATAAATCAAAAATGACACACAAAGCATCAAATGAAGGGCTCACCTCTTGTCCTAAATGATCGTTTTCTTTTTACTTCATTCGTTGTTTAAGGAATACAGTGGAAGACAAATAAATACAGAGAGAACAGTGGCACGGAGAGGAGGGAAACGGGACAGGAGGGAATATGGAGAGGAAGGTCAGAGGACGGAGAACTGCGGCAGGTCTGGCGCGGGAATCCTGCTGATCTCTGTGAAACCCTGCGAGTCTCGGGAAGCGGGAACCAAAGTTTACAAGGCAAAACCAGTTCGTCCCAGAGTCGTACTGGCCAGGCCCCCTGGGAGGAGCCGCGCAACGACGTACGATGCTGGCTGAGAGAAAGGTTTCAGTGGAAGATACCGGAGGAAAATCCATAGAGGACAGGGTGGTGTAAGTAAACCCTGATTTTCTGACCTGCCAGAAGAAAAGAATACATAAAAAAAGAACGAAGCACAGTCAAATCAATGAAAAGAATACAAAACTGCCTTGTTGATGTTGTTTTTGGTTAGTTTTTACTTGAAAAAATACTTTAAAAATAAAAAAAATGAAAAAAAAAAAAAAATCAACAGAAAACAGTAGTGGTGGAAATATGAGCTGGGCTTGATAGAGGAGACGCCGAAGAGCAAAAACTGAACTATGACAAAACGCTTGACCCGAGCAGCGCCAAACTTCCAGTAAACGTTTCAGACGAGGCCTCCGTGAGCCGAGCTCCGGGGGTCAGACAGGGGTCAACGTACGCGTGGCTTCGGCTCGGGGCTTATTTTTCTTTTAATGACTCAGGAGGAAGTTAGCAGAGGGGGAACATAGACACTGTTCTGTTTAATTAAGACTTGGCTGCTGATTTCAGGAGGTTTTCTTTGCTCCTCCTCTTTACGTCCCAGTTGTAGACTCGCGCCATGTCTGAGGGGAGCGACGAGTCAAGGTGAAACAGCGAAATCCAGAGGGCTGCTGAGAGGCAGCTCAGCTCAGGTGCAACACTAATAACTAGATTATCACCATCATCATAAAAAAAAGTAATTTCAAGACAAAAAGAAATGCAATTCATTCAAAAGGAGAACATCTGCCTTCTGGGAAATCATTTGACTATCAACACCATGCATGTGGTTATTCTCCCCTGTAAAGCCATAACTCTGATAATCCCAGACTTGTGCAATAAACTAGCTGCTTTTACTCAATTACATTTACTTGCGGAGTATTTTTGAGAAAATGTACTTTTAGGAGTATTTGTGCTACGCTGAGTTTTACTCGAACGACGTTATTACAAAGTATCGCTACTCTTCAGTGAACGTTCTGGATTCTCTCCCCACTGAATGACCAACCAAACATGTTTTAACCAACAATTCACCCGACACAGACCTGCAGGTTTTTGTTAATGTTCCAGAAGTTTTCCAATTGAAAGAATCTGATTGGGACAAATTTTCCTAGATATTTCTTTGTTACTTCTATGAATCATAGTTATTTTGGTCTTTAAAATACCAAAATTTTCGCTCAACTTTACATTTTAGTCCCTCTGATTGCGCAATTTTGAAATATTAAATGACTGATAATTTAATCAATTACTCAGTACTTCAGTTGACTTTTTACCAACTCTTACTTGAGTCATTTCTTGGAAAGCTACTTTTTACTTTTACTTGAGTAAAAATGTGTTTTGTTCTTTCTTGTTGTCGTTTTTAAAGGATACTGACTTCGGTGGTGGTGCCCTGGTCTCTCAGGTAGTCCAGGTCTTCCTCCAGCGTCTCCAGGTTGCGAGACGCTGTGGACAGATTCTTCTCTAGGAGAGCCTGGGCTTCGTCGATGTCGTATTCTAACATGACGTTGGCCTTTTGGGGAGAAGCGTGGGCGAAACCATTGTAAGACACAATCGGTGTAACGCAAATCCAGATAAGGGAGTTTCAAAGGGAGTAAAAATGTCATTCAAATCAAACCGAAAGCCTGTGCTTACCCCTAACCATAGGCAAACTTTGTCAGTGGGCGGCACAGAGGCCTTGCAGTAAACGTTGTCAGCCAGTAGGAAGTGTGTTTCCATGGGCTCTGTGGTTTCCTGAAGAAAAACAAGTTTGGCAGCCATTAAACTCAACAGGCCTGTAATAGAGGTGGAACGATTAAATCAGATTAAGCACGATGAATCGAATATACATGCATTTTCAAACACAGTTTTATTAGTTTTGTATTTCCACCAACCCAAAAACACAGAATTGTACATCATGCGGCTGTACAAGTAGAGAATAAGAAAAAGGAAACATAAAAAAAAATAGGAAAAAACCGAGGGTGTAGTGTCACATTCGCTATGAACCATGACTTCATTGGCCTTATTGCCTCACTGACCGTCCTAATGGTCGCCAAACAGGAGATGAACTGATTATTGAAATGACTGTCAACAAACGAGCTCGATTAGTCGTTGACTGCAATATTGATTAGTCATTAACACCTTTAGTTATCCGTTTTGTACCCGTTTGATCTGGAGAAATAATCACCAAATCAGCCCTACAGTGAAAATAAGCAATAGTTGCATCTGTAGCCTCTAATATTTCAACCAAAGAAACAAGTATTGTGTTTTTTTTTTAGTTTCTCTGTGATTATCTCAGCCTCTTCTTGCCCGTGAAAGCAGAAATACAAAAGTTCCCTCCGACAATGTAGCAACATGAAAGACTAGACGGATGGACAAAAACACAGACTGATGAAGAAACGAATGTCCAGATGGACAGGAAGATGGACAAAGGTACAGACAAACGCATCCGACTTTAAGAAAATAGATCACCCAATAAAGTCTAGAGATGGAAATATTTTTTTCCACACTCCAAACTTATCCAGACGTGATCAAATTCTAGGATCTTCCAGACTTGGAAGGAACCAGAACAAGCAAGAACGCTCATGTCCTACTTGTTGCTTCTTACGTAATATAACTATACAAGAGCAAAGCAACAGGTTTCTATAAGCAGATTAAACCAGGAAAAAAAAAAAAGCAGAAGAAACGTTACCCACCTTTTTCTTCTGCATGTGTCGGAGGATTTCTAGCGTCTGGGTGATCTGTGGGATCTGGTTTTTCAACCTATGTGAGCAGAGGACGAGAAGCCGTCACATTACAGCATCAACTGTTTGGTTATGAAGTATCTGGCAAACCTCTGAAACGGGTCAAGAGATGAAGGGAAACCGTATGGCTTCTAGCAAAACATCAACCATATGAGATCATATTAATAAGAGACAAATGATGAAGTTATATAAATAAAAAGCTGCAGGCTCTGTGTTAGTGTGGTGAACTTTAGTAAACTGATTGCATTACGTTCCCACAGTTCAATAATCTTCCAAACATTTCTAAGTTTTAGTTTGTTTTTTTTTTACTTTTACAGCAACACACATTAGAGATAGAAAAATACAAATGTACTAAAGAAAACAGCTTCAGTTCACTATTATGTATTGTATTATACAATAATAATAATATATTCCATTTATAATTATTATTCTACATTCTGCAGCAGGGACAAAATACACTTAAAATATAGCAAACTTTTATGTTTTACAATGTTTCTCTTATAGACACAGACGCCTGTGAAATATTTTTTTGTAACTGAGAAAGTTACAAAAATCTCAACAAAAAAAAAAGTCCTTGCTCAGTTTTCTGGGAATTGGCAAAGAGAAATTATTTTTTGAAGTCTAAAACATGAGGAGTTTGGTCTGATTCAATGTCAGGCAGTGAGATGAACATGTGTGTGTGTCTTTATATTATTGTCAAATATCTGGTTTCAACTGTAGATGAGGCTTTTCAAATCGAAGCTTTTGAAAAGCTTAAATTAGATTAAATTGAAATCATTATCATAATCCAACGTTGGCAGTCTAATCAAGCGTCACGATTTCACTTTGATGCAGTTTTCATATCAAGCACTTTCCAAACCTGGAAAACACCTGAGCATTTTCAAGGATTTCAAGCACCTGTATGAACCCTGTGTTCAATTACGTAAACGTGTTAGAGTTTGGTTGGGTTTTGTTTTGTGTTTTTTCCATGTTACCGGAGTTTCTTCTGAGACAGGTTGAGCTCCATGTATTTATATTTCTGGTACTGCTCGTCCAGCCTCCGGAGCGCAGAGTCCGCCGTCTCGTTGCCGGGCTGCTTCATGAACGAGTCGACGTCCTCCTGTGAAACACGCAGGTGTATGTCAGCAGCTAGTTAGCAGTAGCCTCAACCACTTCTGCATGAAGACGACTGCATTTGCCTGTCAGAATACTCTGTAGAATACGTGATAAATGGTCTCCTCACAACATTTAAGACCCATGATTGACGTGTTTAAGGCCAATTTGCATAAAATCAATTTAAACACACTTGAAGGCCTTAACTTGGACTTTTTAAGGACAGACTCTTGATTCTTGCTTTTCATGCCAACAACTGGCACACATAATGGACCCCAGATCATTGGGATTGTAATGTTTCTTGCCACAATAAGACGTTTTTGATTTGTCGCAATGCTCAAAAATAAGCTTTGTGACATGTGTGGCAACCCAGTGATGTTTCTAATATTGGGGTGCAAATGATAAAACAGTAACGTCCTTCAGATGGTGTGTAAAATGTATTAATGCAAATTAAACTAAAAATAAATTTCAACATATTCTTTAAAAGCCTCACCAGCTCTGTTCCCCATCTGAAAACTTGCAATATACAGCAATTTTTTTGTGCAACATCATTTCACACTAAACAACTGACAAAGTGAATTTTGACAGATAAAAAACCCTTTTGTTAACCATTACGTAGTGGCGTATTAAACCTTTTATTAACGCATTTTGATTATGCGGAAGTCTTTCAGACACAATCATGATTTACGGTAGAAGCTAACGTGAACCAGTTCATGCTTTACGCATTAAAACCTCAAAGTGGGGAAACTGAGGCCTGCTAATGACCCTAAACCTCCATGAAGTTACAGTGACCAGCTGAGAAAAAACCCCATAAAATAAAACGGGAGTGACCGGAGACAGAAAAAGCCCACATCCTTCAGACAGAAATGACCATAGATGGAAGCAAGTAGCCGCCCATCCTGCGCACACAGCCGGATCATCAACTCTCTCAGCTCGAGTGCTGCTAGTTAGCTAGTAGCTTCAGAGCCGCTATAACGGCACCTGCACGTCCGGGACGGGCAGGGACACATCAAACTGTGCCGTACACAAGCGGCGCAGCGAAAAAAGTTGGACTGTACGCACCACAAACACCGCTTCGGGGATCCCGAGGTGCTTTTTCTTTGTCGCCTGTACGGCATTGCTGTTGTCTATGGTCGCCGCCATGTTGAAGAGAAGCTGCTTCCTCCCTTACGCCTGCGTACAAGAAGACCAGGGGACTCGAGCGCCCCTTGCGGTCACACGTCGAAACTGCGCTCGAAGATTGAACCTTTCCACTTTTTCTGGAGTTTGGCTCTTTATTTGGCTCTTTATTTGAACAGAGAACGCGTCATATTGGCCACTACAGCATTGATAAATGTTTCATTTGCTCCGTTGTAGATGCCAACTAATTCTGGTGGTCCCAAAGATTTGCACTATTGTTAGAAAACTGTACATTGACTATTTTAACTCAAATGTTTCACTGAATGTGACAATTTTAGAGTTTTGTGAATGCAAGAAATGTTTTGGAAGTTGCCGTGATTTGCACGACGTGGCGTTGTTAAGTCTGTTTTAAGAAAAAAGCACAGTAAACACTCATTTTGTAGTAATCACAAAATGAGTGTTTACAAAAACATAGTAATCGCTTGTTTTGTCCACAGGGTAGAGGTGTTTTTAAAAAGTGACCAAAATGATTACTCCACCAGACGGCTGAAACAAATGAGACAAAATAACCTGTAAATCAGACACAACTGCAATCCACTGAGGTTTTAGAAGCACTTTATTGCATAAATTATTACAATTTCCCATCCAATATTGATTCACATCCCCTATGGAACACTACAGAATCACATGCTGTTCACCACCCTTTCTAAAAATCCTAAAATACCCCAAGTCTAAAGTCTTCCATGTCCAGTCTGCTCTTCCACATGTGTGAAATAGTCAACTTCACACTTTATTTACAAACTGAGTTTGGAATTTTCTCTATTGTGTCCTACAAAATGGACATAATAGAGAAAATTTACCAGATGATTTGTATTTTTCTTGTAGAGTAATTAATGATGCCACAGTTACTGGTACTCCAGATTTTTGTATAGGAAATTATTGTATAGGAAATGCAACTAAAACCTTTTAAGCTTTCCAACGCAGAGCTTTCGAGGCCTAATCCCTGACTTTCTGTTTTCCATGGGAGTGTGTGACATGACACAAGTCTATTTCTCCTGGAACAAAAGCACAAAAGCATCATAAAGGTTAAATTTATTCTAAGACGTTTTAGTTATTTCACTGGTGGTGACTGATAATCGACAAAGGCAGTGTGCCCCTTGACGCAAAAGCGTGTATAAATGTAGAACCTTTGAGTGAAGAAAGATGATTTGTTTCAGCACATTCAAGGGTCAATGACGAAGTTGTAAAAATAAAATTTGAACATTTACCAAGGATGTCAGCGTTATTGGTTCATGTCATTCATCATTTCACTAAGTCATTGTTTAATCGGTTTTCTCTACTGGTCACTGTTTGCATCCACAGGAAGGACTGACGGAGGATGTGGATGAAGACATCAATGACATTCCGATAATCATCTTGTTTTCACTCAGTTTTGTTTGTTAGTTTGGAAGCGAAAATGTCACGCCAACCCGAGATTGGTCAGGTTTCTGTTAAACTAGCACTGAAATTGGACTCTCAACCCACATTTGTTCTGCTTCACATTCGATCCAAAATGAACACCTGCATATTCCGCACACAACCTACATTAAGTGGAATAGAAGAAAGAAAACTGCTCTGTTGTGTACAAAACACGCCACCTAACTCAATGAAAGGTTTCTTTTCAACTTTCGTGACTGACAGCTGTGATAATCAGCGGCTCTGTATTTTTCCCGTGGTCAAAAACTCCTGGGCTGAAGAAAGGGAAAATCCTCTCCGAGAACAAACACCTGGTGAAGGTGTAGATGTGCGATCTGTCATCCACGTCAAAGAACGAAACCATCCCTTCTTCGTAATCCGTGAACACTCCGATGGTCTTGGGACTCTTCTGGAGCTGAAGCAGGACGGAGGGGGAGTCCAGGGCCCGGTATTCACTGGCGTTCCTCAAACGCACCGTCCAGTAGCCGTTGTCCGGGGTGGAGGTGATCATGCCCTTCCTGTTGACGGACTCTTTGACCACACCCAGGTCCCAGAAGGTCTTATTTCCAACTGCAACCTAGTGAACGGAACAAGTGTTTGAGCATCGGTGTGTCATCACAAGGCCCGGCATTGCTACAGGGTTGATCGAACCGATCTACCTGAAAGTAGAACCTCCCAGACCGGAAGCCTTTCTTGCTCAGGACGCAGATAACCGGGTCAAAGCGTTGGGGAATGTCAGGAACAATGTGCAGCAGCTCGCCTCGGCCCGCCTGCTTCCCGTCAGGGGACAGGACGATGTTTGGATGGGCCGTGTCCGGGTCCAACACCAGATCCGCTGTGGATACACGGGTCAAAACTTATTGTCTCCAGGCACCACCTCCTTCCAGACTACAGTCGGTATGCCCAACGTTTATCATCGCAGACATCTGTGTCACAGGTTACCTGAAGGAATCTGACTCTGAATCTGAAAAAATTCCACTTTCTTCTGTTCTAATCTGTTGTTCATCTGGTCTTTAAAATCAGGTGAAAACAAGCTCAGAGGCACGAGGTGCCTTAAAACATTTAATTGGAGGCTTTCCAGAAAAAAAGAGCAATGGGTCATTCCTAGCAACGAGCAAGAGACATGCCATTATAGTGGGATATAAGGAAGAAAAGGCGAGTGTTTAATGAGATTAATATAAAAACAGTTTGTTTTTATATAATTGAAAGGTCACGTAAACGGTTTAAGGTAAGTTTAAATCGTGTTTGTACCTGCATATTTTTGCATCCTCCTCATCTCTGTGAAAAGAGAGAAATAAAAAAGAAATCTTTATTAAATACTTTTTTTTAATCACAAGAAGACAATTCAATTGTTTCTGGACCTAGAAAAAGATTGAAATGTAGCATTGCAACAATTTTTTTTGCCATTACAAAGTTTAACAAGTTAAAAAAAATAAAAAAAAATAAAACAAAAAATAAACATGATAATACATATTTTGCTTTTTTTGGGGTATTTTAACCTGTGCATTGTAAGTACAGCATTCTCAATAAGGCAGTGCCAGATGTAGAGATGCTGTACTAAAAATAAACCTCTGATATCTGCAGAGGCTGCGTGCAAAGAGCGTTGATCTGTGTTGTCAATAAGCCTAAATGTGAACCATTTAAATAGTTAGATGTATTTTTGCTGGGGGTTTCTTCTGTAGGACATGTTTTATAATTCCACATTTCAGAATAGGAAGCTATAGGGCGCTTTTTTAATTTAACACAAAACCAAAAAAAAAAATAATAATTTTCAAGATTTAATTCTTGTTTGAATTCGAATCTTTAGATTCCCACCAAGCTATTATTTGCAGGTGGAGTGTGAGGGAACAGGGGAGAGGAAGAAAGAGTTTGGAGGCGGAGCCTGTTGGTTCTTGATTGTGGTAGATTTCTTACACATCAACATTCGAAAGACATCGAACTCCTCACTCCTTCGTCAAACTCTATGATGTCACGACAACAGTCATTTGTGATGTCATCATCGTCACTGTTTCTTATATGCGACAAACTTTTTCCTTCTTGTCATTGCTTGCGACACCGTTGATGAGTTCAGAGCACTTTCAAAGTTGAACGCTGATCAAGGCTTATTTGAACGTTGTTCTGTCCAGAATGTCCTGTCAAAGGCCACTTTACACCCACAGTGCGATAAGAAGGCGTTGGGGAGTCGTACCAAATCACCAAGGCTGGCTTGAGGTCCAGAGACTGAGGTCTCTCTTGGAAATGGAGAGAGCGAGACGGATGGAGGAGACTCAAAAGACAGCTACCTTACAAAGAGAACTGGACAATACAAAATCTGAGTTGCAGAAACAGAAAAATCTCGAGGATACTTTCATCAACAAGGGCAAAGAGATGAAGAGAGAACTTCCGGAAGCAGAAACGTTTACCAATCCAGATACTCTCAGTTCTGTTGTTATGGCTTCTAATGTGCACAGAGACATGAGAGACAAGAAGAAAAAGCTGCTGCAAGAGGACTTGGAGCAACTGAGGGTAACTTGCACTTGCATTGTCAACAAGGAAGCGTTCATGTTAGAAATCAAGGCGGAAAAAGAAAGAAGTGACGCGCTCCGACAAGAGCTGGAACAAACGAAGACGCGCTACCAGGAGCTTCGATCGAAATATGAAGCCGACATTCGTGAGGGGAAGCTGCAGGTCGACGCGAAGATGTTTTATGAAGAGAAACTCAAGCAGGAACAAAAGCGCTTTGAAAATCTGAGAGCCGAGAAGGAGGACCTCCAACAACAGCTCACCGCCTACCAACAAATGTTCTCCGCCTTTGAGGTTAATCACAAAACAGAGGTGGAAAATCTGAAAATGGAGCTCCAAGACACAGCGTTACTAGGACCTCCAAGAAGGAAAGTGGCAAAGAGTCAAGAATCAAATGGGGAAAAGGGCAGTAACCCTGTAAACAACATCACCGACCCTGCATTCATGGATCTGAGCTGTCTCATAGAAGAAACTCTGTCAGAGGATTTTGAGCCACCCGATGCATCTCCTGAGGAGCTGAGTGACTTTGTCGAGGAGATGCTGAGAGATTCGGGCATTCTTGATTTCAAACCCATGAAAGTGACAGACCTCTGTGTGGAAACTCTGGCAGAGGAAAGGGAAAGCCCAGATACTAAACCCGTGGGGGCAACAGTTGGGGAAAAAAGAAATGACACACTTCTAGTCTGAAGAAACCACAAAAATGGAGGAAGCTACTAAAGCTACTAAAGTGTGCAACTAGAAAAACGTGTCCAGGGTAGTACTGAACAATTCTCAAAACCTCCACTTAGATTTTAGACAAATTTAATGCGGTGGATAGTGCTGCATCTTCACAGGAAAGTGGTCACAGTTTTTATCTGGGCACCTCTTTCTGTGAGATTTTGTTTTTCCTGGGTTAGTGACAGTTTCTCCGGGTGCTCCGGTTTCCTACACATTTCCAAAAACATAAGCTAGAGTGATTGACCAATGTAAATGTCCTATACATTGGTATAGTATAGTATACATACATTGGTATACTATATCTATCTATATCTATATCTATCTATCTATCTATCTATCTATCTATCTATCTATCTATCTATCTATCTATCTATCTATCTATCTATCTATCTATCTATCTATCTATCTATCTATCTATCTATCTATCTATCTATCTATCTATCTATCTATCTATCTATCTATCTATCTATCTATCTATCTATCTATCTATCTATCTATCTATCTATCTATCTATCTATCTCTATATCTATATATATATCTATATATATATATATATATATATATATATATAGATATTATATATATATATATAATATATATATTATAATTGGGAGGAATGGTGTGTTGCAGACCAACATATTGCAACACACCATTCCTCCCAATTATAAAAAGAACAAAGCATATATGTGTGTGTTTGTGTACATGTGTACACCAAGTGAGTGTGAAGCGTCTCTTGCGGTAGCTTAGAGATTCTACTTGGAATTGTAGAAAGTTGCTTTGTTCCAACTTTCTGAGTCCAGCGACTGCAACTGGCTGGTCCCTCGATATGGGCTGAAACGAGGAGTAGGACGTGTGATTCTCCTCCTGCCAGCACATAGCCTCTCCACCCCAACGACCCCTGCAGTGCCTCCTCGTGGCCACACACGGAAACTGGGACCATTCGCAGTCCCAGGCCAAACTGCAAGGGGTCTCGGAGCAACAGTGGGCCCCAGAGATGAGGTGCACAGACTGTGGACCCGTCGACCACTGTCCCAGCTATGGGCAAATAGCGCCAGTGTCTCATGATGACGTCTAACAAGGCGAGAGCCTAAATAATCTGAAGCTTGTGCTTCAGAGCAAATTGCCAACCTTGTATTTGTATGTGGATTGAAGTTTTTAAACTGGAGCAAATTAGATGGAATTGCCCTTTAGTCATCTGCCCCATCAGAAACCAACTTCAGCTCTGTATAAAACAAGTATTTTTAAGCTTTTGCGTAAACTGTCAAAATCTAGTCCAGTCCAACCAATTTTCTCGATAGATATGCTGATTGCCAGCTCATCCAAGCCTGGAACAAAGAATCAGAGGACAGTTCGCTACACAATAGAAAATGATCGGCTCTACAACATACACAGATGTGATTTCATCCTGAATGACGTTTCAACTCTTTTGCGTGCCGTTTACCTTCTTTCTTCCAGATATCCAGGTCTTTCCTCACAGTGTCATGCAGCCTGGAAAGCGCTCTCCTCACCGTTCCAACGCAAAGTTCAGGGTAGATCCTGGTTTCTGTCCACTCCCTCTTGGTAGGTGGAGGTGACACAAGCGAGGGCAGTCTCTGACAAGAGAGTGAAAAAATGAATGCAATTTGTACATTAATTAAAAATCATCACCAAAATGCTGTGTTTTCCTCCTGACTGTTCCTATAGTAGTAAACCTGCTTCAGATCACAATCACATCAGCCAGCATGTTTTTTTTTTGTTTTTTTTAAATATATCTCGGTTCTAAAAATCTGCTTCCCATCCCCACAACCTGAGGTTGATGCTGACCTGCAGGAGGTGCAGGTGGTCGTCCGTGTTTTCCAGCTCGTTTAGCTCAGTGCTTCTCCTCTGCAGCTCGGCGATTTCCTGCTGAAGGTCACCGATGAGCTCCTCGGCCCTCCTCTCCTCCGCTCGCCGCCTTTCCTCGATCTCTGCATCGGCTTCGGCTTGCCTCTCCTTCGTCGAGTTGATCAGCGACGTGAAGAGGCTGTCGCTCGCCTTCTTCTCCTTCTCGGCGCTCAGCTGGAAAGCACCAAACACGTTCGCACTTGATTTAAAGACATGAAGTAAGACACACATTTTGGTTCACCTTGGAAAAGTTTCCAGTGATGAAGTAAATATAGTTTCTATTAAAGGAAAATGCCAAGATGCAATGTAAAGTGTGTTTAGAGCTTGGTTAATGGTTTAATCTTGGTTAATGCATATCTTTTGTACGTACATGTTGTCATTTTGCTCCTTTATTCTTCCATATTACACCAGTAGGCAAAACTGTTTACACCCTAGTATTTGAAATTCTAAACTATGTATCTTTAATGCAAATCACGAACAGTCCCACTTTTTGCAATAGTGGACATCTCAATTTGTATTCGAAAAAGTCAGGCATGATGTGACTAAAACTACAAAAAAAAAAAAAAAAAAAAAAAGACCAGCACTTTACAAAGCCCTTTGTCATATTGCATAAAAATGTAGAGCAATGTCAATGGATCCCCGTTTCAGTTAGGGGTCCAGGTTTGCTCTCTCCATCGTCACTTACTGTGCTCAGCGTCAGGCAGTTTTTTATCTCCTCGATCTTCTTTCGCCGCTCCTGGATCATCTGCTGAAAATCTGCCTGCGTTTGCCTCATGTGGATCTAAACGGACAGAACACATTTATTTGTTTGAAACACGGGCCGGTTTGGCAGTCTGTGGGTCATTGAGTTACAAACTGAGAGCAAATGGTAAATGGCTGATACTTGAACAGCGTCTTATTAGGTCTAGAAGACCCAAAGTGCTTCACACCACATTCAGTCATTCACCCACACGTTTGCACGTTAGTGGTTACCCTAACCCTGACCTCACAACACTCCTGATACCTTCCTCTCCTTGCTCTCGTCCTCCATCGTCACCGCCCGGTGGTCTTTGTGCTCCGTCTCGGTGCAGAACTGGCAGACGCACATCTGCTCCGCCCTGCAGAACATCTCTAGCAGCCGCTCGTGCTTCTTGCACATCCTGTCCTGCAGGTCCTTCACCGGCTCCATCAGCTTGTGCATCTTCAGGGTGGCCACGGTCCGGTGCGGCTCCAGGTGGGCCTCGCAGTACGACGTCAGACACACCAGGCACGACTTGTGGGCCCTCACCTGCAAGGAGGCGGCGGTGCACACGTCACACACGACGTCGCCCGGTTCGGCTGCAGACAGAGGCGCGGCTGAGGAGCAGACGATCATTTGCCTCAGGGTGTCTGCCAGCTCTTTGAAGGCCTTGTTGATGCTTATTTCAGGCCTGGAGGCGAACATCTTGCTGCAGGCGGGGCACTGGCAGACGTCACTGCTGTCCCACACCTGCCCAATGCAGACCAGGCAGAAGTTGTGCCCACAGGGAGTGGTCACTGGGTCAGTCAACACCTGCTGACAGATGCTGCACTGGAGCTGTTTCTCTGGGAGCATTTTAGCTTGTGCGTCTCTTTACCTGTTGGACAAGAAATGAGACAGTTTGGTGAAAAAAAAAAAAAAAAAAGATGGAAGAAGCAACAGTTTAAAAAAATATAGCATTCACCTATAGTTGGTTTAGGTTAGTATGTAAATATGCCAAAGTTACATATAGACATACAGTATGTGACTTTCACACACTCAACAATAATGAGTGTCCTTTGAATGTTTGTCATTGTGGGTCGTTCTATCAGGCACACACAGTCTTTACTTAATAATTCTGACACAACACCAGTGCATCCACATGAAGAACCCATTCATTAATCTCTACTGTCACTTCACACAAAGTCTTAAAACAGACTGGCTGCATTGTTTTTGCCAGGGAATGTGACCTGGAACCACAGATCTATAAAAATCTCAGCAACGTTCTAGCAAAAGCCTTGATCTGTCCATCGTAAACTTGTGGGTTTCGGACAAGTTTCGACGCGTTGTCATGTACAGAAGGGCTCCAGTTGCTATAAAATTGAAGTTTTTGGAGACGTGAAGAAAGCTTGCTCTTATGGAGGCAAACAGACACAATTTCGATGCCGTCACCACCTTGTTTTCGCAAAACTGTTGTTCTTTGTTTGCAGGGTTCACTGTTGGTCTACATGCTGAACCCAAAAGTGGACTCTTAGTCTTTAAAAAGTTTCACTTTTGAAAATTTCAAGAGTGAGTCTTTGAAAGATTAGCTGTGTCGCTGTTCCCTTTCAACCTTTACCAGACTACTTCCTCTTTTCTCTTTGGCAGTTCTTGTTTGGATCATTGATTGATTATTGCTGTGGTGGAAGTAATGATGCTGTTTTATTTCTACTCTTCCTATCGATCTGTAGGCCATATATCCACCCATCCATCTGAGATCAGCTCAGAATGCCAGCATGTCTCGGAGGACACCTTTCCATCGACAAGTGTCAGCCAATTCTGAAGGATCCAAACACATCTCCAGAAGAGATTTACTGAGATCTTCTGCCGGTGGGACATAACCTTTAAAGAAAGGTGTCAAAGAGCCCAACGTACTGTCCTTTTGATGCAGAGAGGGACAACTGGACCTTCTCGCCCTCCCTATGGGATGTGGTCATGGTCATCCCATGACCAAAGGTGAGGTTTGAAACGTAAACCGACGGAAGCGTTTGCTATTTGGGTCAGCTCCAGCTTCTCCATGAAAAGTGTCAAAAGTGCTGCAGATTAAGGCCCCAGAACAGGGCCTTTTTTTTTTAACCCAACCGCATTGCTTGACGTTTCCAAAAACACTTTGAACTTTTAGCTCGAACGGCAGATCATCTGTACTCACCCTCCTCAGCCGCAGCAGTCGTTTCGCCTCTGACAGCGGAGCAGGTGATTCTTTTGACACAAGGGAGAGCAGTTACTCATAAACCAAAACCTTGCTCCCTCCCGACTCGCTGGACCTGCCTAATCTTAAAATCACAATCCACAGCTCAACCAACAATTAGTTGCCAACATTAGCCAGCTGGGAACCCTTTATGAGCACGTCTGTATTTATGTAATGATAGTAATGGCTAATAGTAGCTCTCACAGAGGGACAGAGTTTGTTTGTCTCCTGGGTGTGGTGGCCTGGTCAATGGTTAACATTTTCCACTTGGAACACACCTGAAGTACCTGAAGTACCTGGTCAGGTATGAGCCAGGCTCCAGAGGCTCACATGGTTACGTAACGGACACGTTCAGGTTCACATGAGAGCCATGTCGACATGCCGGAAGCGTCCACACACACACACACACACACACACACACACACACACACACACACACACACACACACACACACACACACACACACACACACACACACACACACACACACATCATGTTTGGGCTGTGTAAAAATGCAGCATCTTTTTCACAATGTGGAATATCACAGTCAGAAATTTCAATGAAATTTTATCTGGGTTTTATGTGTCAGACCAACACGAAGTAGTGCGTAATTGTGAAGTGGAAAGAAAAGAACGTATGGTGAAAAAAGGCATTTGTTTTCCAAAACATACCTGTCTACCTCAGCTGACAGGTGAGGCGAGAGAAAAGAACGTTTAGAGAGGCAGTCAATGGGCAACTTCATTGCCCATTGACAAAGGCCAGATTTGTGGTGCATTCACACCACAAATCTGGCCTTCATAAAAGACGGACAAGATGAAAGGAAGCCCCAAGAAGTAAGAAAAAAGCTTGCAGGAGAGCAAGCAAACATGTTGGACATGTGTGTCAAATCCGGCCCCTTACAGCTTTTTCTTTGGCTCTCCAGATTCCCGAGGGCCACATAAACAGAAACTTGACGATAACTCAAACTAAAGCAGGTCAGTGTCTTTATGTTGCCACATTACATTGACTAGTCCAAATGTACATGGATAAGTATAAATCTAGGACCAGATGTTTCCATCTTTAGTTCAAATCCGACTGAACTGTGAATGTATCACTGTTCTCTGCAGTGTTGTAACTTTCTCACTAGGTGGCGACAAAGCATCAAAATCTCACTTCCTGCCTATATGACAGAAATATATTTGAACTACAGCTTCTGTTTGACACCACGGCGGTCATTTGGTTAGAGCGACTTGTTGAACTAAGTGGTTCCAGGATCATATAGAAACTTTGATTAATACAAAAATAAATAAATAAATAAATAAACAAAAATAAAAATCTGCGATCATTGGGGATAAAGATTAATTAATACTTTTCTCTTTACGTGGGGCAGGTCTTTGGATTAATGCAAGGTGTGTTCATTCAAAGAGCAGAAAGAAAACAAGAAAGAAAAAAAAAGATCTCAAAGTCAGATGACGCCCCTCCCCCTCCTGAACCCCTGCTGTTTTTACAGGAAGTGAGTCCAAATTCACCCGAGCAGGAAGAAGCTGCACTTTGTTCGTCTGAAGCGTCTCCGGGCGGCTCGGAGCTCGTTTTCGTCATGGCTGGTGAGTTAAAGCAGCTTCTTTTAGCTCGATCTGAAACAAAAATGGGAGATACAAAGAGAGGCTGCTCCCTCCAGACATCCATGTTGTTTCTCCTCGCGGTGCTGTGGAAGGAAGGAAACTTTTAATGTTTGTGCACGAGGCAAAAACAAAACCAAAACTACATATATATATATGTGTGTGTATTTTTTTCAGCCATGTAAAATTACACTTTAATGTGACATGCTCTTTCAAGCAGTAGAAGTTTCAATAGAATAAAAAAAAACCAGGCAACGCATTTACAATATTTTGAAATACTTATTGTCAGCAGCAAGTATATAAAAGTGTTTCCTAAAATAAAAGACTGAACCGGAATCAATTTATTGTCGTTTTTCTCTTCTGCTGCCAGACGTGTGGAGGATTGTCCTGCTGGGGAAGACTGGATGTGGGAAGAGCAGCCTGGCCAACACCATCCTGGGGACGGACGTTTTCGAAGTCAAGAACTTCACCAGCTCAGCGGTCACTCGCTGCCGGTCAGAGACCCGGCGGGCTCACGGCCGGAGCCTCGCTCTGGTCGACACGCCCGGCTTCTTTCACTCCGGGCTGTCCGAGAAGGAGCAGAGGCGCGAGGTGGAGAGGTGTACCTCAGAGTGCGCTCCCGGGCCCCACGCTTTTCTCATCGTGCTCAAAGTGGAGAAATTTACGGAGCAGGAGAGACAGGTTGTCAGAATCATCCAGGATTGTTTCTCCGCAGAGGTTTTCAAGTATTCCGCCGTCGTTTTCACGCACGGCGACCAGCTGGCGGAAGGCACGAAGATCGAGGAGTTTGTTAGGAAAAACCAGCAACTGAAGGATCTGGTGGAGAAGTGTGGAGGGAGGTGCCACGTCGTTGACAACAAGTACTGGGTAAACACGCAGGACAAGGTCAGAAACAACCGGGTCCAGGTGGAGCAGCTGCTCAGCACCATTGACAACATGGTGGCCCAAAACCACGGCGGCTGCTACAGCACAAAAATGCTGCAAGACTGGAAGAAACAGAACCAACAACCCATAATCCACCGCTTATTTCAGAGTGTCATGAAATATGTGAGACCGAAGCCAGTGTTATTTTTAGTGTGATCATTTTTGGTATAATTATGTGGAAAAGATGGGGAGAACATGCTGCAGAGATCAATAAGGAGCAGATAATTGGGTTGGATTGATTACAGGATCTCAGTCCCACAGCAGCTCCATCATGATTTGCTGCTCTGAATGTTTCTCCAAGAGGAAAAATCAACATCTTTCGTCCCTCTGAACTTGTCGTCCCATTTATGACCTAATATCCACAAAATAACGGATCCCATAATCCGTAATATTACATAATTATAACAATGGCATGTTAGTAATGAATTCAGTTGTTTGATTCAGCTGCAGGTTGTTTTGTGGTGGAGCTTTCACTGTTTTAACTTTGTTCAAGTGTTACATTTTCTAACACATAACTGGACTCGCCGGCCCGGACGGCTGCAGCAACAGAAACACCAAATGCGCCACAACAAAGTGACGCCATATTTGAAAAACACAATTAAAACCAAAATAAACCTGTCACTTTTTTTGTAGCTGGATTTTGTTTAAATGAAGTAAATTGAATTCTGAAGTATCGCTATCCACAGATGTTCTGTTTTAGCGTTTAGCTCTTTTGCATTTCTGGCTTTTTCTTTTTCAAATATCACTTCATACGTGAAGTTCTTGCCTTATCAAATTGCATGTTTGCAGCAGCATAAATATGTTAGAATGTTGAACACAACAATAAAGACGCTGCTTTTTACACATAAATCTGTCCTCTGTGGTTCTGACACTAATTATACATCAATGACAATTCTTACTAAACATTTAGTCACAAACGGCTCCTCTTTGTCTCTGATTGGTTTAAAAACCTAAATATCTTGCAAAAAAAAAAAAAAAAACAGCCTTTGTGCTGACTTTGTGCAAGATGATGGAGTCGATAATAAACTCTGCATTATGTGGCCAAACCGATGGAGTTACTGATTTCAAACATGCAGCAGTTTAGTCTAACGCAAAATAATTCTTTATTGTAAGGATCATGTGGCTTTGTGTGTTATAGATTTTACAAAAATAAAAAAAAAATAATAATTTTGCATTATGTGTTTTAACTTACAATAAAAACACAATAAAAACAAAAGTTCAGATCAATCAAGTTTTTATTGGTTTGAAAAAAAAGAAAGCAACATTGACAATAATTGACATGCTTGTAAAGGAAAAAAAAGAATGACTTAAATTTTAATATTTTAACATACATTCACAAGTTGTGATAAACTTAACAAGAAAAGAGTCTTTATTACATATACATGTACATATATTTTTACAGTTATAAAGAAATCATTTAGGATAACATGACCTGAACAGCTCGAGTTAATTGGTTAATTTTGTATTGAGAAAAACTAAAACAATGCAATAAAAATATAATTACAGGAAACAGTAACTGTTAGGCTATGAAAAGGTTATTAAGGTTTTAATCAACAATGTTCCAAAACGAGGTTCTAAAAACACAAAGTTTCTCAGAACATATCAGTTTTCTACATTTTGTAAATGGAAAACTACTTAGATTTATTTCTGCTTTCATGTAATATATAATAGAATATTATAGCTCCTGATGTGAAGCTTCAATACAGACATTGTTTTTTTAAAAAAGATGTTAAAATTATATGTAGAACAATGTTTCACCCGCAAACCTCTTATGTCCTTCATCATCTTGTATTATTTACACAATTAATCTTCTGCCCTGCTGTTAAAATAACATTTTACAAACATTATCAACCACTTCCACTGTTGCTGATGACAGATTTATCAGTGGCTTTATCGTTTGTTTGCGTTTATGTTATTATTCCCTCCTCAATTTTAACCCTCCATGAAGACAAACGTCTAAAACATTCGACAAACTGAGGCCCCTTCCACATGGAGACGATTTTAGGTTTGTATAAAAGGTTTTCAGTTATTTAGGCTACGCAAAAATAAGGATCTGACATTTTAAGGAACCAGGAGCAATTACTTCTGAAAACTGATGAGTTTCAAAACAGTGACCTTCCTGGTTCCACGTTCTGTTGCAGAACCAGGAAGGACAAAAATGTAGATCATCAGTCTCCATGTGGTCTGAGCTTCTCGCCCTTGCAATTTTATTTCTTTACTTTATTCAGGCTTCAACTTTGACTCCTCTCCAGAACTGTTTGGACTGTTTACCAGGCATGACACTCTCAGCCGTTTCTCTCCGATCTTGAAAATGATTTTAGCTGTTTTTACAACACCATCCATTGTTGTTTCACTGCTGTAAGCTATACCTGCCCCAGCTATGCCACCAACCAATGCTCCACCAAATGCACCAAGACATGGAATTGGTGTGCATTTAAAAAAACCAAGAAATGCTCCCAGCAACATTCCTACAGTAGCTCCAGCTGATACCTTCAAAATCTGGCCCCAGGGCCATCCTTCTCTGCCTTCCAACATCCTCGCTATCTCGTTCCCCACCGCTTGAAGAAGAAGTTGGTGTAGCCACTCTGCTCGTTTTTTCATTCTCTCTATCGTGTTGAGAAGCTGACCGACCTGAATCCTGTTGCTCCTGTAGTCGTCCTGCTGATCTTTCCAGTATTTATTATCCACAACGTGACACCGGCCTCCACACTTCCTCACCAGCTCTTTCAGACAAGGATTCTCTTCTATAAAGTCTTCAATCTTCTGGCCTGTTCTCAGCTGGTCGCCGTAAGTGAACACAACCACGGCGTGTTTCAGAGCCTCGTCTGTGAAATATTCCTTTATTTTATCGATGACCTGCTTCTCCTGGAATCCGTATCGTCCCACATTCAGCACAATGAGAAACGCGTGAATCTCAGGTGCGGACATTTCAATGCACCTCAGAATTTCCCTCTTTAGCTGCTCTTCATTCGTGGTGTTTCCAAAGAAGCCTGGAGTGTCGATGACTTGGACAGACGCTCCGTTGACATCTCTAGATGCAACTTTGCATTCATGTGTCACAGAGTTTGGGGACATGTTTTCTTCAAACAGATCTGCTCCCAGTATGGCGTTTCCAAGGCTGCTCTTCCCAATGCCAGATTTTCCCAGCAGGACTAGCTTTGTTCTACTTGATGCTGGAAGACAATAAAATCGTTTTATTATTATTATTATTTAATTAAATATTAAATCCCACTAGATTTTGATCTCAGAAACGAGCAAGGCTTTCGACCACACCACACGTTTCATTGTTGGAGTTATGTTCAGATGAGTTATGTTCAGATCCATGTGACTGAAATGAATTGATTTCATGTCAACTGTGAAACTTCACAAACGCAGCATAACACTGAGCACATCAACTACAACTAGTTGCCAACGTTAAAGGTTAAAGCGTTAGATCAGTCAGGACATTTAAAGTGTTGATAATGTTACTGCAGATTCACTGAACCAGTTCTGACCTAGATGCCTCTCTCTCTCCCCGCGGAGGGATACACAGCAGCGCGTTCCGAGGCTCAACACACGGGGTCTCCACCCCAGCAGACAGAAAAGGAAGTTGGAAACTTTTTCCATTTCCTTCTTTTAGATAGTTCTGCCTCTTTATTTATCAATAAAGAGGGACCAGAAGGAAATAGTTTATTGAACAGGAGAGTCACATAAAGTGACCTGAGTTTTAATTTGTAGCTTTAGGAGCTATATTTTGTTTATATTTGACATTCAAACTCTCCTGCTTCTTGCATAGCAGTACAGATGACTTCCAAACAGATGGCGACGAAGAGAAAACGGACGCGCCCTGGTACAAACAAAAAGCAAAGCAGGAAAATACTGATGACAGTAGAAAAAAAAACTGTCACTGTTTTTTATTTTTATTCATTTTGAGTAATTAATTTAACCAACTCACCTGCCATGACAAAGAGGAGCTGAAAGTTTGGAGATGGTGTAGTCAGTTGCTGGGATTGTTTGTTGGTACTGAATGTGTGTCTCTCTCTTATCCACACTTTACTTTCACTTTAGGCTCCAGTTCCTCCAGGCAGGTACTGGGTCCGCCTCTCTCTCAGTTTAAAAGTAATTAGGTCTGAGCAGTGAAGGCCTATTGTTTTCTTGCATATGTTTTATTCTTCCACCCAAATGAATTGTTTTTGGGGACTTTATCATATTCAAAACTCACCAACCTTGGCGGACGTCAAGCCTGTTTAAAATTTTTGTATTTTAAGGTCGTTGCAAAAATCGCAAGAGAAATGGCTCAACGGCTCCACCTAGAAATTTTCAAAGGACCCTTTGCTATTCACTTGCTTCATCGTAGAGAAATGAAATTTGGTACACTTGTAGAGCTCCCCAAGACGCTCAGAATTTACAATTAATGTCATAGTGCAAGTATCACAGGAAGTCGGCTATTTTGGATTGAAGTTCTGATTTTGACCACCTTTTTGCCGTTTACATTTGATCGAACTCCTCCTAGGGATTTCGATTGATCGGCTTCAAACTCCGTCAGTCTGTTCATAAGGCATGTCCCATCTAAAGTTACCAAAACGGTGAGTTTTTGAGTAGGCTGAAGGGGAATTGCCAGGGGTCAAAGTTCACCTACTTGCCATAAAAAAATAAACTGTTATATCTCCTACACAGAAACTCAAAGAGGCACCAAGTTTCAATAGAATGAAAAACCAGGCAACGCATTTACAATATTTTGAAATACTTATTGTCAGCAGCAAGTAATAAAAGTGTTTCCTAAAATAAAAGACTGAACCGGAATCAATTTATTGTCGTTTTTCTCTTCTGCTGCCAGACGTGTGGAGGATTGTCCTGCTGGGGAAGACTGGATGTGGGAAGAGCAGCCTGGCCAACACCATCCTGGGGACGGAAGTTTTCGAAGTCAAGAACTTCACCAGCTCAGCGGTCACTCGCTGCCGGCCAGAGACCCGGCGGGCTCACGGCCGGAGCCTCGCTCTGGTTGACACGCCCGGCTTCTTTCACTCCGGGCTGTCCGAGAAGGAGCAGAGGCGCGAGGTGGAGAGGTGTACCTCAGAGTGCGCTCCCGGGCCCCACGCTTTTCTCATCGTGCTCAAAGTGGAGAAATTTACGGAGCAGGAGAGACAGGTTGTCAGAATCATCCAGGATTGTTTCTCCGCAGAGGTTTTCAAGTATTCCGCCGTCGTTTTCACGCACGGCGACCAGCTGGCGGAAGGCACGAAGATCAAGGAGTTTGTTAGGAAAAACCAGCAACTGAAGGATCTGGTGGAGAAGTGTGGAGGGAGGTGCCACGTGGTTGACAACAAGTACTGGGTAAACACGCAGGACAAGGTCAGAAACAACCGGGTCCAGGTGGAGCAGCTGCTCAGCACCATCGACAACATGGTGGCCCAAAACCACGGCGGCTGCTACAGCACAAAATGCTGCAAGACTGGAAGAAACAGAACCAACAACCCACAATCCACCGCTTATTTCAGAGTGTCATGAAATATGTGAGACCGAAGCCAGTGTTTATTTTTAGTGTGATCATTTTTGGTATAATTATGTGGAAAAGATGGGGAGAACATGCTGCAGAGATCAATAAGGAGCAGATAATTGGGTTGGATTGATTACAGGATCTCAGTCCCACAGCAGCTCCATCATGATTTGCTGCTCTGAATGTTTCTCCAAGAGAAAAAATCAACATCTTTCGTCCCTCTGAACTTGTCGTCCCATTTATGACCTAATATCCAATATAACGGATCCCATAATCCGTAATATACATAATTATAACAATGGCATGTTAGTAATGAATTCAGTTGTTTGATTCAGCTGCAGGTTGTTTTGTGGTGGAGCTTTCACTGTTTTAACTTTGTTCAAGTGTTACATTTTTTCTAACACATAACTGGACTCGCCGGCCCGGACGGCCGCAGCAACAGAAACACCGAATGCGGCGCCACAACAAAGTGACGCCATATTTGAAAAACACAATTAAAACCAAAATAAACCTGTTACTTTTTTTGTAGCTGGATTTGTTTAAATGAAGTAAATTGAATTCTGAAGTATCGCTATCCACAGATGTTTCTGTTTTAGGGTTTAGCTCTTTTTGCATTTCTGGCTTTTTCTTTTTCAAATATCACTTCATACGTGAAGTTCTTGCCTTATCAAATTGCATGTTTGCAGCAGCATAAATATGTTAGAATGTTGAACACAACAATAAAGACGCTGCTTTTTACACATAAATCTGTCCTCTGTGGTTCTGACACTGAATTATACATCAATGACAATTCTTACTAAACATTTAGTCACAAACGGCTCATCTTTGTCTGTGATAGGTTTAAAAACCTAAATATCTTGCAAAAAAAAAAAATAATAACCTGACTTTATGCTGACGTTGTGCAAGATGATGGAGTCGATAATAAAACTCTGCATTATGTGGCCAAACCGATGGAGTTACTGATTTCAAACATGCAGCAGTTTTAGTCAAACGCAAAATAATTCTTTATTGTAAGGATCATGTGGCTTTGTGTGTTATAGATTTTACAAAAATAAAAAAAAAATAATAATTTTGCATTACGTGTTTTCACTTGCAATAAAACACAAGAAAAATAAAAGTTCAGATCAATCAAGTTTTTATTGGTTTGAAAAAAAAGAAAGCAACATTGACAATAATTGACATGCTTGTAAAGGAAAAAAAAGAATGACTTAAATTTTAATATTTTAACATACATTCACAAGTTGTGATAAACTTAACAAGAAAAGAGTCTTTATTACATATACATGTACATATATTTTTACAGTTATAAAGAAATCATTTAGGATAACATGACCTGAACAGCTCGAGTTAATTGGTTAATTTTGTATTGAGAAAAACTAAAACAATGCAATAAAAATATAATTACAGGAAACAGTAACTGTTAGGCTATGAAAAGGTTATTAAGGTTTTAATCAACAATGTTCCAAAACGAGGTTCTAAAAACACAAAGTTTCTCAGAACATATCAGTTTTCTACATTTTGTAAATGGAAAACTACTTAGATTTATTTCTGCTTTCATGTAATATAGAATAGAATATTATAGTTCCTGATGTGAAGCTTCAATACAGACATTGTTTTTTTTTTAAAAAAGATGTTAAAATTATATGTAGAACAATGTTTCACCCGCAAACCTCTTATGTCCTTCATCATCTTGTTGTATTATTTACACAATTAATCTTCTGCCCTGCTGTTAAAATAACATTTTACAAACATTATCAACCACTTCCACTGTTGCTGATGACAGATTTATCAGTGGCTTTATCGTTTGTTTGCGTTTATGTTATTATTCCCTCCTCAATTTTAACCCTCCATGAAGACAAACGTCTAAAACATTCGACAAACTGAGGCCCCTTCCACATGGAGACGATTTTAGGTTTGTATAAAAGGTTTTCAGTTATTTAGGCTACGCAAACATAAGGATCTGACATTTTAAGGAACCAGGAGCAATTACTTCTGAAAACTGATGAGTTTCGAAACAGTGACCTTCCTGGTTCCACGTTCTGTTGCAGAACCAGGAAGGACAAAAATGTAGATCATCAGTCTCCATCTCGCCCTTGCAATTTTATTTCTTTGCTTCATTCAGGCTTCAACTTTGACTCCTCTCATTGCTGTTTGGACTGTTTACCAGGCATGACACTCTCACGATTTGCTCTCCGATCTGGAAAATGAATTGAGTTGTATTTACAACAACATCCATTGGTGTTTCACTGCTGTAAGCTATAGCTACCCCAACTGCGCCACCAACCAATGCTCCACCACCTGCACCAATATATGGATGTGGTTTGCATGCAAGAGCACCAAAAAATGCTCCCAGCAACATTCCTACAGTAGCTCCAGCTGATACCTTCAAAATCTGGCCCCAGGTCCATCCTTCTCCGCCTCCCCCCTGTCCTGGAAGGTTCTGCTCGCTTCTCATCCTCGCTATCTCATTCCCCACCGCTTGAAGTAAGAAGTTGGTGTAGCCACTCTGCTCGTTTTTCATTCTCTCTATCGTGTTGAGAAGCTGATCGACCTGAATCCTGTTGCTCCTGTAGTCGTCCTGCTGATCTCTCCAGTATTTATTATCCACAACGTGGCACCGGCCTCCACACTTCCTCACCAGCTCTTTCAGACAAGGATTCTCTTCTATAAAGTCTTCAATCTTCTGGCCTTTTTCAGCTGGTCGCCGTAAGTGAACACAACCACGGCGTGTTTCAGAGCCTCGTCTGTGAAATATTCCTTTATTTTATCGATGACCTGCTTCTCCTGGTCTCCGTATCGTCCCACATTCAGCACAATGAGAAACGCGTGAATCTCAGGTGCGGACATTTCAATGCACTTCAGCATTTCCCTCTTCAGCTGCTCTTCATTCGTGGTGTTTCCAAAGAAGCCTGGAGTGTCGATGACTTGGACAGACGCTCCGTTGACATCTCTAGATGCAACTTTGCATTCATGTGTCACAGAGTTTGGGGACATGTTTTCTTCAAACAGATCTGCTCCCAGTATGGCGTTTCCAAGGCTGCTCTTCCCAATGCCAGATTTTCCCAGCAGGACTATCTTTGTTCTACTTGATGCTGGAAGACAATAAAATCGTTTTATTATTATTATTATTTAATTAAATATTAAATCCCACTAGATTTTGATCTCAGAAACAAGCAAGGCTTTCGACCACACCACACGTTTCATTGCTGGAGTTATGTTCAGATGAGTTATGTTCAGATCCATGTGACTGAAATGAATTGATTTCATGTCAACTGTGAAACTTCACAAACGCAGCATAACACTGAGCACATCAACTACAACTAGTTGCCAACGTTAAAGGTTAAAGCGTTAGATCAGTCAGGACATTTAAAGTGTTGATAATGTTACTGCAGATTCACTGAACCAGTTCTGACCTAGATGCCTCTCTCTCTCCCCGCGGAGGGATACACAGCAGCGCGTTCCGAGGCTCAACACACGGGGTCTCCGCCCCAGCAGACAGAAAAGGAAGTTGGAAACTTTTTCCATTTCCTTCTTTTAGATAGTTCTGCCTCTTTATTTATCAATAAAGAGGGACCAGAAGGAAATAGTTATTGAACAGGAGAGTCACATAAAATGACCTGAGTTTTAATTTGTAGCTTTAGGAGCTATATTTGTTTATATTTGACATTCAAACTCTCCTGCTTCTTGCATAGCAGTACAGATGACTTCCAAACAGATGGTGACGAAGAGAAAACGGACGCGCCCTGGTACAAACAAAAAGCAAAGCAGGAAAATACTGATGACAGTAGAAAAAAAAAACTGTCACTGTTTTTTATTTTTATTCATTTTGAGTAATTAATTTAACCAACTCACCTGCCATGACAAAGAGGAGCTGAAAGTTTGGAGATGGTGTAGTCAGTTGCTGGGATTGTTTGTTGGTACTGAATGTGTGTCTCTCTCTTATCCACACTTTACTTTCACTTTAGGCTCCAGTTCCTCCAGGCAGGTACTGGGTCCGCCTCTCTCTCAGTTTAAAAGTAATTAGGTCTGAGCAGTGAAGGCCTATTGTTTTCTTGCATATTGTTATTATTCTTCCACCCAAATGAATTGTTTTTTGGGGACTTTATCATATTCAAAACTCACCAACCTTGGCGGACGCGTCAAGCCTGTTTAAAATTTTTGTATTTTAAGGTCGTTGCAAAAATCGCAAGAGAAATGGCTCAACGGCTCCACCTAGAAATTTTCAAAGGACCCTTTGCTATTCACTTGCTTCATCGTAGAGAAATGAAATTTGGTACACTTGTAGAGCTCCCCAAGACGCTCAGAATTTACAATTAATGTCATAGTGCAAGTATCACAGGAAGTCGGCTATTTTGGATTGAAGTTCTGATTTTGACCACCTTTTTGCCGTTTACATTTGATCGAACTCCTCCTAGGGATTTCGATTGATCGGCTTCAAACTCCGTCAGTCTGTTCATAAGGCATGTCCCATCTAAAGTTACCAAAACGGTGAGTTTTTGAGTAGGCTGAAGGGGAATTGCCAGGGGTCAAAGTTCACCTACTTGCCATAAAAAAATAAACTGTTATATCTCCTACACAGAAACTCAAAGAGGCACCAAGTTTCAATAGAATGAAAAACCAGGCAACGCATTTACAATATTTTGAAATACTTATTGTCAGCAGCAAGTATATAAAAGTGTTTCCTAAAATAAAAGACTGAACCGGAATCAATTTATTGTCGTTTTTCTCTTCTGCTGCCAGACGTGTGGAGGATTGTCCTGCTGGGGAAGACTGGATGTGGGAAGAGCAGCCTGGCCAACACCATCCTGGGGACGGACGTTTTCGAAGTCAAGAACTTCACCAGCTCAGCGGTCACTCGCTGCCGGTCAGAGACCCGGCGGGATCACGGCCGGAGCCTCGCTCTGGTCGACACGCCCGGCTTCTTTCACTCCGGGCTGTCCGAGAAGGAGCAGAGGCGCGAGGTGGAGAGGTGTACCTCAGAGTGCGCTCCCGGGCCCCACGCTTTTCTCATCGTGCTCAAAGTGGAGAAATTTACGGAGCAGGAGAGACAGGTCGTCAGAATCATCCAGGATTGTTTCTCCGCAGAGGTTTTCAAGTATTCCGCCGTCGTTTTCACGCACGGCGACCAGCTGGCGGAAGGCACGAAGATCGAGGAGTTTGTTAGGAAAAACCAGCAACTGAAGGATCTGGTGGAGAAGTGTGGAGGGAGGTGCCACGTCGTTGACAACAAGTACTGGGTAAACACGCAGGACAAGGTCAGAAACAACCGGGTCCAGGTGGAGCAGCTGCTCAGCACCATTGACAACATGGTGGCCCAAAACCACGGCGGCTGCTACAGCACAAAAATGCTGCAAGACTGGAAGAAACAGAACCAACAACCCATAATCCACCGCTTATTTCAGAGTGTCATGAAATATGTGAGACCGAAGCCAGTGTTTATTTTTAGTGTGATCATTTTTGGTATAATTATGTGGAAAAGATGGGGAGAACATGCTGCAGAGATCAATAAGGAGCAGATAATTGGGTTGGATTGATTACAGGATCTCAGTCCCACAGCAGCTCCATCATGATTTGCTGCTCTGAATGTTTCTCCAAGAGGAAAAATCAACATCTTTCGTCCCTCTGAACTTGTCGTCCCATTTATGACCTAATATCCACAAAATAACGGATCCCATAATCCGTAATATTACATAATTATAACAATGGCATGTTAGTAATGAATTCAGTTGTTTGATTCAGCTGCAGGTTGTTTTGTGGTGGAGCTTTCACTGTTTTAACTTTGTTCAAGTGTTACATTTTTTCTAACACATAACTGGACTCGCCGGCCCGGACGGCCGCAGCAACAGAAACACCGAATGCGGCGCCACAACAAAGTGACGCCATATTTGAAAAACACAATTAAAACCAAAATAAACCTGTCACTTTTTTTGTAGCTGGATTTTGTTTAAATGAAGTAAATTGAATTCTGAAGTATCGCTATCCACAGATGTTTCTGTTTTAGGGTTTAGCTCTTTTTGCATTTCTGTTTTTTTCTTTTTCAAATATCACTTCATACGTGAAGTTCTTGCCTTATCAAATCGCATGTTTGCAGCAGCATAAATATGTTAGAATGTTGAACACAACAATAAAGACGCTGCTTCCTACACATATATCTGTCCTCTGTGGTTCTGACACTGAATTATACATCAATGACAATTCTTACTAAACATTTAGTCACAAACGGCTCATCTTTGTCTGTGATAGGTTTAAAAACCTAAATATCTTGCAAAAAAAAAAAAAAAAAAAAAAACAGCCTTTGTGCTGACTTTGTGCAAGATGATGGAGTCAATAATAAAACTGCATTATGTGGCCAAACCGATGGAGTTACTGATTTCAAACATGCAGCAGTTTTAGTCTAACGCAAAATAAATCTTTATTGTAAGGATCATGTGGTGTTGTGTGTTATAGATTTTACAAAAATAAAGAATAAATAATTTTGCATTACGTGTTTTCATTTGCAAAAAACACAAGAAAAATAAAAGTTCAGATCAATCAAGTTTTTATTGGTTTGAAAAAAAAAGAGAGAAAGCAACATTGACAATAATTGACATGCTTGTAAAGGAAAAAAAAGAATGACTTAAATCTTAATATTTTAACATACATTCACAAGTTGTGATAAACTTAACAAGAAAAGAGTCTATTACATATACATGTACATATATTTTTACAGTTATAAAGAAATCATTTAGGATAACATGACCTGAACAGCTCGAGTTAATTGGTTAATTTTGTATTGAGAAAAACTAAAACAATGCAATAAAAATATAATTACAGGAAACAGTAACTGTTAGGCTATGAAAAGGTTATTAAGGTTTTAAAACAATGTTCCAAAACGAGGTTCTAAAAACACAAAGTTTCTCAGAACATATCAGTTTTCTACATTTTGTAAATGGAAAACTACTTAGATTTATTTCTGCTTTCATGTAATATAGAATAGAATATTATAGTTCCTGATGTGAAGCTTCAATACAGACATTGTTTTTTTTAAAAAAGATGTAAAATTTATATGTAGAACAATGCTTCACCCCCCAACCTCTTATGTCCTTCATCATCTTGTTGTATTATTTACATAATTAATCTTCTGCCCTGCTGTTAAAATAACATTTTACAAACATCAACCACTTCCACTGTTGCTGATGACAGATTTATCAGTGGCTTTATCGTTTGTTTGCGTTTATGTTATTATTCCCTCCTCAATTTTAACCCTCCATGAAGACAAACGTCTAAAACATTCGACAAACTGAGGCCCCTTCCACATGGAGACGATTTTAGGTTTGTATAAAAGGTTTTCAGTTATTTAGGCTACGCAAAAATAAGGATCTGACATTTTAAGGAACCAGGAGCAATTACTTCTGAAAACTGATGAGTTTCAAAACAGTGACCTTCCTGGTTCCACGTTCTGTTGCAGAACCAGGAAGGACAAAAATGTAGATCATCAGTCTCCATGTGGTCTGAGCTTCTCGCCCTTGCAATTTTATTTCTTTACTTTATTCAGGCTTCAACTTTGACTCCTCTCCAGAACTGTTTGGACTGTTTAGCAGGCATGACACTCTCAGCCGTTTCTCTCCGATCTTGAAAATGATTTTAGCTGTTTTTACAACACCATCCATTGTTGTTTCACTGCTGTAAGCTATACCTGCCCCAGCTATGCCACCAACCAATGCTCCACCAAATGCACCAAGACATGGAATTGGTGTGCATTTAAAAAAACCAAGAAATGCTCCCAGCAACATTCCTACAGTAGCTCCAGCTGATACCTTCAAAATCTGGCCCCAGGGCCATCCTTCTCTGCCTTCCCCCATCCTCGCTATCTCATTCCCCACCGCTTGAAGTAAGAAGTTGGTGTAGCCACTCTGCTCGTTTTTCATTCTCTCTATCGTGTTGAGAAGCTGACCGACCTGAATCCTGTTGCTCCTGTAGTCGTCCTGCTGATCTTTCCAGTATTTATTATCCACAACGTGACACCGGCCTCCACACTTCCTCACCAGCTCTTTCAGAGGATTCTCTTCTATAAAGTCTTCAATCTTCTGGCCTGTTCTCAGCTGGTCGCCGTAAGTGAACACAACCACGGCGTGTTTCAGAGCCTCGTCTGTGAAATATTCCTTTATTTTATCGATGACCTGCTTCTCCTGGTCTCCGTATCGTCCCACATTCAGCACAATGAGAAACGCGTGAATCTCAGGTGCGGACATTTCAATGCACTTCAGCATTTCCCTCTTCAGCTGCTCTTCATTCGTGGTGTTTCCAAAGAAGCCTGGAGTGTCGATGACTTGGACAGACGCTCCGTTGACATCTCTAGATGCAACTTTGCATTCATGTGTCACAGAGTTTGGGGACATGTTTTCTTCAAACAGATTTGCTCCCAGTATGGCGTTTCCAAGGCTGCTCTTCCCAATGCCAGATTTTCCCAGCAGGACTAGCTTTGTTCTACTTGATGCTGGAAGACAATAAAATCGTTTTATTATTATTATTATTTAATTAAATATTAAATCCCACTAGATTTTGATCTCAGAAACGAGCAAGGCTTTCGACCACACCACACGTTTCATTGCTGGAGTTATGTTCAGATGAGTTATGTTCAGATCCATGTGACTGAAATGAATTGATTTCATGTCAACTGTGAAAACTTCACAAACGCAGCATAACACTGAGCACATCAACTACAACTAGTTGCCAACGTTAAAGGTTAAAGCGTTAGATCAGTCAGGACATTTAAAGTGTTGATAATGTTACTGCAGATTCACTGAACCAGTTCTGACCTAGATGCCTCTCTCTCTCCCCGCGGAGGGATACACAGCAGCGCGTTCCGAGGCTCAACACACGGGGTCTCCGCCCCAGCACAGAAAAGGAAGTTGGAAACTTTTTCCATTTCCTTCTTTTAGATAGTTCTGCCTCTTTATTTATCAATAAAGAGGGACCAGAAGGAAATAGTTATTGAACAGGAGAGTCACATAAAATGACCTGAGTTTTAATTTGTAGCTTTAGGAGCTATATTTGTTTATATTTGACATTCAAACTCTCCTGCTTCTTGCATAGCAGTACAGATGACTTCCAAACAGATGGCGACGAAGAGAAAACGGACGCGCCCTGGTACAAACAAAAAGCAAAGCAGGAAAATACTGATGACAGTAGAAAAAAAAAACTGTCACTGTTTTTTATTTTTATTCATTTTGAGTAATTAATTTAACCAACTCACCTGCCATGACAAAGAGGAGCTGAAAGTTTGGAGATGGTGTAGTCAGTTGCTGGGATTGTTTGTTGGTACTGAATGTGTGTCTCTCTCTTATCCACACTTTACTTTCACTTTAGGCTCCAGTTCCTCCAGGCAGGTACTGGGTCCGCCTCTCTCTCAGTTTAAAAGTAATTAGGTCTGAGCAGTGAAGGCCTATTGTTTTCTTGCATATTGTTATTATTCTTCCACCCAAATGAATTGTTTTTTGGGGACTTTATCATATTCAAAACTCACCAACCTTGGCGGACGCGTCAAGCCTGTTTAAAATTTTTGTTTTAAGGTCGTTGCAAAAATCGCAAGAGAAATGGCTCAACGGCTCCACCTAGAAATTTTCAAAGGACCCTTTGCTATTCACTTGCTTCATCGTAGAGAAATGAAATTTGGTACACTTGTAGAGCTCCCCAAGACGCTCAGAATTTACAATTAATGTCATAGTGCAAGTATCACAGGAAGTCGGCTATTTTGGATTGAAGTTCTGATTTTGACCACCTTTTTGCCGTTTACATTTGATCGAACTCCTCCTAGGGATTTCGATTGATCGGCTTCAAACTCCGTCAGTCTGTTCATAAGGCATGTCCCATCTAAAGTTACCAAAACGGTGAGTTTGAGTAGGCTGAAGGGGAATTGCCAGGGGTCAAAGTTCACCTACTTGCCATAAAAAAATAAACTGTTATATCTCCTACACAGAAACTCAAAGAGGCACCAAGTTTCAATAGAATGAAAAACCAGGCAACGCATTTACAATATTTTGAAATACTTATTGTCAGCAGCAAGTATATAAAAGTGTTTCCTAAAATAAAAGACTGAACCGGAATCAATTTATTGTCGTTTTTCTCTTCTGCTGCCAGACGTGTGGAGGATTGTCCTGCTGGGGAAGACTGGATGTGGGAAGAGCAGCCTGGCCAACACCATCCTGGGGACGGACGTTTTCGAAGTCAAGAACTTCACCAGCTCAGCGGTCACTCGCTGCCGGTCAGAGACCCGGCGGGATCACGGCCGGAGCCTCGCTCTGGTCGACACGCCCGGCTTCTTTCACTCCGGGCTGTCCGAGAAGAAGCAGAGGTGCGAGGTGGAGAGGTGTACCTCAGAGTGCGCTCCGGGCCCCACGCTTTTCTCATCGTGCTCAAAGTGGAGAAATTTACGGAGCAGGAGAGACAGGTCAGAATCATCCAGGATTGTTTCTCCGCAGAGGTTTTCAAGTATTCCGCCGTCGTTTTCACGCACGGCGACCAGCTGGCGGAAGGCACGAAGATCGAGGAGTTTGTTAGGAAAAACCAGCAACTGAAGGATCTGGTGGAGAAGTGTGGAGGGAGGTGCCACGTCGTTGACAACAAGTACTGGGTAAACACGCAGGACAAGGTCAGAAACAACCGGGTCCAGGTGGAGCAGCTGCTCAGCACCATTGACAACATGGTGGCCCAAAACCACGGCGGCTGCTACAGCACAAAAATGCTGCAAGACTGGAAGAAACAGAACCAACAACCCATAATCCACCGCTTATTTCAGAGTGTCATGAAATATGTGAGACCGAAGCCAGTGTTTATTTTTAGTGTGATCATTTTTGGTATAATTATGTGGAAAAGATGGGGAGAACATGCTGCAGAGATCAATAAGGAGCAGATAATTGGGTTGGATTGATTACAGGATCTCAGTCCCACAGCAGCTCCATCATGATTTGCTGCTCTGAATGTTTCTCCAAGAGGAAAAATCAACATCTTTCGTCCCTCTGAACTTGTCGTCCCATTTATGACCTAATATCCACAAAATAACGGATCCCATAATCCGTAATATTACATAATTATAACAATGGCATGTTAGTAATGAATTCAGTTGTTTGATTCAGCTGCAGGTTGTTTTGTGGTGGAGCTTTCACTGTTTTAACTTTGTTCAAGTGTTACATTTTTTCTAACACATAACTGGACTCGCCGGCCCGGACGGCCGCAGCAACAGAAACACCGAATGCGGCGCCACAACAAAGTGACGCCATATTTGAAAAACACAATTAAAACCAAAATAAACCTGTCACTTTTTGTAGCTGGATTTTGTTTAAATGAAGTAAATTGAATTCTGAAGTATCGCTATCCACAGATGTTTCTGTTTTAGCGTTTAGCTCTTTTTGCATTTCTGGCTTTTTCTTTTTCAAATATCACTTCATACGTGAAGTTCTTGCCTATCAAATTGCATGTTTGCAGCAGCATAAATATGTTAGAATGTTGAACACAACAATAAAGACGCTGCTTTTTACACATAAATCTGTCCTCTGTGGTTCTGACACTAAATTATACATCAATGACAATTCTTACTAAACATTTAGTCACAAACGGCTCATCTTTGTCTCTGATTGGTTTAAAAACCTAAATATCTTGCAAAAAAAAAAAAAAAAAAAACAGCCTTTGTGCTGACTTTGTGCAAGATGATGGAGTCGATAATAAAACTCTGCATTATGTGGCCAAACCGATGGAGTTACTGATTTCAAACATGCAGCAGTTTTAGTCAAACGCAAAATAATTCTTTATTGTAAGGATCATGTGGTGTTGTGTGTTATAGATTTTACAAAAATAAAGAATAAATAATTTTGCATTACGTGTTTTCACTTGCAATAAAAACACAAGAAAAATAAAAGTTCAGATCAATCAAGTTTTTATTGGTTTGAAAAAAAAAGAGAGAAAGCAACATTGACAATAATTGACATGCTTGTAAAGGAAAAAAAAGAATGACTTAAATCTTAATATTTTAACATACATTCACAAGTTGTGATAAACTTAACAAGAAAATAGTCTTTATTACATATACATGTACATATATTTTTACAGTTATAAAGAAATCATTTAGAATAACATGACCTGAACAGCTCGAGTTAATTGGTTAATTTTGTATTGAGAAAAACTAAAACAATGCAATAAAAATATAATTACAGGAAACAGTAACTGTTAGGCTATTAAAAGGTTATTAAGGTTTTAATCAACAATGTTCCAAAACGAGGTTCTAAAAACACAAAGTTTCTCAGAACATATCAGTTTTCTACATTTTGTAAATGGAAAACTACTTAGATTTATTTCTGCTTTCATGTAATATATAATAGAATATTATAGCTCCTGATGTGAAGCTTCAATACAGACATTGTTTTTTTTAAAAAAGATGTTAAAATTATATGTAGAACAATGCTTCACCCCCCAACCTCTTATGTCCTTCATCATCTTGTTGTATTATTTACATAATTAATCTTCTGCCCTGCTGTTAAAATAACATTTTACAAACATTATCAACCACTTCCACTGTTGCTGATGACAGATTTATCAGTGGCTTTATCGTTTGTTTGCGTTTATGTTATTATTCCCTCCTCAATTTTAACCCTCCATGAAGACAAACGTCTAAACATTCGACAAACTGAGGCCCCGTCCACATGGAGACGATTTTAGGTTTGTATAAAAGGTTTTCAGTTATTTAGGCTACGCAAAAATAAGGATCTGACATTTCAAGGAACCAGGAGCAATTACTTCTGAAAACTGATGAGTTTCGAAACAGTGACCTTCCTGGTTCCACGTTCTGTTGCAGAACCAGGAAGGACAAAAATGTAGATCATCAGTCTCCATGTGGTCTGAGCTTCTCGCCCTTGCAATTTTATTTCTTTACTTTATTCAGGCTTCAACTTTGACTCCTCTCCAGAACTGTTTGGACTGTTTACCAGGCATGACACTCTCAGCCGTTTCTCTCCGATCTTGAAAATGATTTTAGCTGTTTTTACAACACCATCCATTGTTGTTTCACTGCTGTAAGCTATACCTGCCCCAGCTATGCCACCAACCAATGCTCCACCAAATGCACCAAGACATGGAATTGGTGTGCATTTAAAAAACCAAGAAATGCTCCCAGCAACATTCCTACAGTAGCTCCAGCTGATACCTTCAAAATCTGGCCCCAGGGCCATCCTTCTCTGCCTTCCAACATCCTCGCTATCTCATTCCCCACCGCTTGAAGTAAGAAGTTGGTGTAGCCACTCTGCTCGTTTTTCATTCTCTCTATCGTGTTGAGAAGCTGACCGACCTGAATCCTGTTGCTCCTGTAGTCGTCCTGCTGATCTTTCCAGTATTTATTATCCACAACGTGACACCGGCCTCCACACTTCCTCACCAGCTCTTTCAGACAAGGATTCTCTTCTATAAAGTCTTCAATCTTCTGGCCTGTTCTCAGCTGGTCGCCGTAAGTGAACACAACCACGGCGTGTTTCAGAGCCTCGTCTGTGAAATATTCCTTATTTTATCGATGACCTGCTTCTCCTGGTCTCCGTATCGTCCCACATTCAGCACAATGAGAAACGCGTGAATCTCAGGTGCGGACATTTCAATGCACTTCAGCATTTCCCTCTTCAGCTGCTCTTCATTCGTGGTGTTTCCAAAGAAGCCTGGAGTGTCGATGACTTGGACAGACGCTCCGTTGATATCTCTAGATGCAACTTTGCATTCATGTGTCACAGAGTTTGGGGACATGTTTTCTTCAAACAGATTTGCTCCCAGTATGGCGTTTCCAAGGCTGCTCTTCCCAATGCCAGATTTTCCCAGCAGGACTATCTTTGTTCTACTTGATGCTGGAAGACAATAAAATCGTTTTATTATTATTATTATTTAATTAAATATTAAATCCCACTAGATTTTGATCTCAGAAACAAGCAAGGCTTTCGACCACACCACACGTTTCATTGCTGGAGTTATGTTCAGATGAGTTATGTTCAGATCCATGTGACTGAAATGAGTTGATTTCATGTCAACTGTGAAACTTCACAAACGCAGCATAACACTGAGCACATCAACTACAACTAGTTGCCAATGTTAAAGGTTAAAGTGTTAGATGAGTCAGGACATTTGAAGTGTTGATAATGTTACTGCAGATTCACTGAACCAGTTCTGACCTAAAAACCTCTCTCTCTCCCCGCGGAGGGATACCACAGCAGCGCTTTACGAGGCTCAAAACACGGGGTTTCCGCCCCAGCAGACAGAAAAGGAAGTTGGAAACTTTTTTTTATCTTTAGCTGCTATACCGAGCCTGCGTGCATACATCCGCGCGCGCGAAGGCCAAGCGACCAGAACGAAAAATAGTTACCGAACCGGAGAGTGACAAAAAGTGACCCGAGTTTTAATTTCGTAGCTTTAGGAGCTATATTTGTTTATATTTGACATTCAAACTCTCCTGCTTCTTGCATAGCAGTGGAGTTGGTTTCCAAACAGATGGCGACGAAGAGAAAATGGACGGGCCCTGGTGCAAACAAAAAGCAAAGCAGGGAAATATTGGTGATAGTAGAAAAAAACAGTAAAAAAAAACAGTAACTGTTTTTTTTTTTTATTCATTTTGAGTAATTAATTTAACCAACTCACCCGCCATGACAAAGCGGAGCTGAAAGTTTGGAGATTGTTTGTAGGTACTTGAATGTGTTTCTCTCTCTAATCCACACTTGACTTTCGCTTTTGGACCCAGTTCCTGCAAGCAGGTTCTGGGTCCGCCTCTCTCTGTTTAACCTTCCTGTTATGTTCTGAGTCAAACTGACCCGTTATAAAGTTTAAAAATAGTTGGAAGTATTTTTTGAGTGTACTTTTTACATAGATACAGTTCGGGTCAATTTGACCCGCCAGTCAAGTTTAAATGCAAAAAAATATATATATAAAAAAACAAAGTCCAATTCTATATGTTTCCTTGCAGCCATGAACCATATTTCGCCACACAAACACAACACACCACACACATATCTGCACATTTGGACACACACAAACTCATTTCTCACTATTCTCTTTATTTCATTGGAAATTGCAAGAAAGCAGGTGTTCATACCACTTTCGACAGGAATCCTTTCTGTTCCTGTGGACAAACTCCACCCACACTGAGTGGACACTCAGCAGAAGTGGAGGAAACCTCCAAACATGACCTGTGATCTGCAATCTAAACTGCAAACGACCTGAAAATGTCGCGCATGCACAGGAGAGGGCGCAATAACATCACACATAGAGAGCATGCTCAGTGTTTTGCCAATCACCGTAAAAAGAAGAAGCTGAAGTCAACATGGATCCTATTAGTGGAGCATATATTTGAAGATGTTGTCTGACCGGAGCCAGCGCTTTAACAAGTGAATCCTCAGCACAGTCCGCCTTGGTTGTTGTTTGATTTGTGTATCATGACGCAGAAAAAGTGACGTTTGTATCAATGAGAATCAGATCGGATGACCTGAGTGTTCAGATTCAGGTCACGTTTGAATTGGACACGTATCGGATATCCTAGAAGCCTGGGTCACATTCGAAAACAATCCCACCTGTGTTGTTCAGACTGTCATGAAAAGATTATTTACAGCTCACACAATCTGAACTGGGTCACTTTGGCCTGCAGTGTGAATTCAGCCTTACTTTAAGCATGAATTGTACATTTAAAATTTTTACAAGGTCCCAGAATTTGGGTACATTTGGATGAAAAAACAGCGAGTTTCAATGCTCCCGATACCCCACTTTATGTAATATTCAGATTGATTTTTGTTTGTGTTACGTACAATGGCTGTCAATTTGTTTTGCATGCATTGTGTCAAAACTTACACAGTCAAACGTGGTACAATGAGTGCATTGTACAAAATAAGCTACGATTTGTAAAATCTTATTCCCCTCAGAACTTGTTTTGATTTTACTAGGCCGATCTGTGGTTTCCAGCTAAATTTATCATCCAGTATAAACACCCAGAAATCTGATCTCAAGGACTTGTTTTAAAGCTGTCAACAGCTATTTTTATGGCATTATTTTATTGCGTCCAGTTACAGTTTCCAAATATTATAAATTTAGTTTTATCTACATGTAATGACAATTTATTCATTTAGGACCTATGTTGTAGTTTTTCATGTCTGCATTGACCACCTCAAAGAATCGCTGGATGTTTTCTCTGGTACAGACGATACTAATATCATCTGTAAGTATTATGTAGTTTAGCAGGTTTTGATACTCTGAATATGTCATTTACATATAAATTGAATCATTTGGAGACCAACACTCACCCCTGCAGGACCCCACAAGTTATGCTTAATAAATCTGGTTTCTGACTACATATTTCTACAAATTGTTTCCTTTGTCCAATGTAGCTTGTAGGCCAGTGTATTGTTGCCCCCCTAACTCCACACTTCTCCAGTTTTTTGAGTAAGATGTCATGATTTATGGTATCGAAGGCTTTCTTGAGATCTGGAGATCTACATCGATTGAAAATTTCCTTCTATCCATCCTGTCTAATATTTCTTCTGCTAACGCCATCAACGCCATTGAAGTTGATCCATTTTCTCTGAAACTATGTTGATAGTCTGTCACAATGTTGAGCCACGTCACCCACTTTGGAAGACAGTATTAATATGGTTTTTTTTTTTTTTTATTTCAAAGGGGACGTTCTTTATTGTACCCGAGTACCAATGGGCATTCCTCAAGGGTTAATTTTAGACCATCCGTTTGTTTTGTGTACGCATTGTTCTCGGGTTTGTCACAAATGGCACTTGATCCGAAACATGGAATCCTCCCAAGTGATCCCATTGAGACATTCTGTTCTCTCGCCTTGTGCTGATGTCGTATCAGAAACTCACTGGGTGAGGTTTCCAGAGCTCGTGTTACATAAGTAGGCCGACGTAGTGGAATGGCACACAATGGTTTCCACAAAAGTTTCTCAACCCCTTTAACTTTTCCACGTTTTATTGTGTCACAAGAAAAAAGAAATTCAATGTGTTTGTTGGGCTTTACGTGATGGATAACCTTCATAGCTTTTCTGTGAATAACTGGAGGTCTGCTGTTCTGATTAATGAACGAACATCGTCAGGAAGACAGAGAAACACAACATACATGGAAAGTCAGAGATAGAGAGAAAGACGGTTGTAGAAAAGTTTAAAGCAGAAGCTGTGAAGAGCTTTCATGCAAACAGACTGAAATGAAATTGAAACTCTTCTCTCCGAGTTTTGATTTCAACTCAGCCTGGAGGCCCAAGGTAACCAGAGAGGCTGCAGACAGAAAAGGTGTTTGGACAGAACAATGACGAACTGTGCACCAAACAAATCTGACCCACAAAGAAATGTGACCAGAAGTAAGAAATCCAAGTGCAAAAACAAAATCCTGACAATGAAACGGCACAACAGCGATGGTATCATTAAGCCAGAGTTGATAACAGAAGGTAATATTTGAAAACCAAAGATCGCAAGTAACTTAAAGCTGCGGAGGAGATTCATCTTCTGGCAAGACCTCAGCTGTAAACATCGAATGTTTTTTTTTTATTTTTAAATGTTATCAGAGCATATTCATGACAAATTCAAGATACGGTGTAATAGAGAATCTGTTTACTCATAAATATATAACTGTACAAAATGAAGGAACGAATGACAGAATGAACAGACAAATTAACGAAGGAATGAATAACAGAACCGACCAAACAAAAGAAAAACCCCTCGAGTTCAATGCACTCATTTTATTTCTTACACTTTTTTTTACAAGTTTTCTCACAGAACATAATTTTGACTCCGTGTGTGTGTGTCTCTGTGTGTGTGTGTGTAAATAAATACCGATTTAAAAGTTTTACAAGTACAAAGAATAGAGAAAAAACCAAAACAACCTTGAGCGCTACAATGAAAGTCTACATGCAAATATATAAATATACATGTTACATATAATTACACACATATCCAAACAAGATCCGGTTGGGATGTTCACAAGGTGACAGGACACAGGAAAGTAAATGGCATATTTAAGATAAATTAAATATAATCAGTTCTTATTGCGAGTTGTTGAAGCATAACTTATGTGAGAAAAATGCAATAGTTTCCAGATCCTCTGAAACCCGACAGACTTGTGGTTAAGTTCATGAGTCGACTTCTCAAGTGGGACAAGAGCTGAAATCCACAAATAAAAAGCGACAACCAGCAGAGATTCAGAGGGTGTTAAATAAATCATCTGGACCGTGTCATGACGACAGCTTTTTAGCTTTGATCAAAGCAGCACCGATTCATGTCCGAGGGTTAAATTGACCTGTCGCTTTAAGACACCTTTTGACCCTTTTGGACGTCAGATTGATCAAGGTGTAGAAAACCGAAGTTTTCTGTGCACAAACAAACCGATGTGGAAATCGCTGAGGTATTTCTCAGCAACTGAAAACTCAGAGTAGGGAGCCGGTGAAACTGGAGAAACCGGTTGGTCGGAACGCCGCGGTGGGAGTAGCTTCCAACATAAAGAGAGCAAAGTGTCTGGTGCAAGTGAACACACCTGGTGAAAGCCGTCGACCCACACAGGTAAGACATCTTTCATAATTACACATCACATTTTCAACATTTCTTATCTGAGGCAAACAAATGTGTGCTCCTTGTTTGAACAAGCTCTCCTGAAATAATGCTTGTGGCTGCACCTGGATGTAATGATAATAATAATGTTTATTTCAATGAAATGTAAGACATGAATCATTGAAACAGTTTAGCAACGTTTTAAACTCACAATGCAAACATAATCTGAACCATGTTCAGCATTTTCACAGCGAAATTTATTTGTGCGACACCTTCAAGATGTAAAATTACTCCAAGTGCTTTGCAGGAAGAGGGATTAGGATTTCAAGAACAAAAGTGCAAAATTAGATCCCCGGCGATCACCGTGCTTTTGGAAACCCGCCGGCTGACTCCACCCGCAGCAGCAAAGTGCAGGCTGCTGTTTTTAAAGGAATCCTCTTGAATGTGTTAAAACTGCAACAAATCACAGCTGAGAAATGAAGTGAAGGGGAATTCAGTCAGGCACTGGCCTTTAAACTGGCAGACATGAAAAAATGACCAGGAAATACTGAAACACTTCCCTTTTACTGTTATTTAATTTCACCTATTAGAGTTAATTATTATAAGTAAGGCCACGGAGAAAACTGTTAAGAGCTACTACCAGCAAGTATGTACCATTGTTTTTGAATTGCTTCTTAACTGCTCTCTGCGTTAACCGTTTGGCATAAACTAGTGTTTATAAAATCATTTGCAGTTGAAGCCAGGCATTCACACACACCAAGTAAAAACACACACATTTTCTTCTCATTCTCTGAAATTAAATCTCTTGGATTTCTTTGTAACTTTCTTCAAATTCTGATGTTTACTCACATTCGGACATGCAGTAGCTGGGATAACTGTCTTCCAAACTGCATGACTCGGATCAAATCTGTTGGGTTTCCTTTCACAAACGTCTCACAATAGTTTACTGGAGTTGTGGCCCATTCACGCTTTTCCAGATGCTCCCACGACTCCTCCATAGGATTCATTTCAGACGTTTGTGATGGTCACACCAAAATACTGACTTTGTTGTCCCTTAAGTCACATTGTAAGCACTTTGACTGTGTGCTCAGAGTCATTGTCCACTTGGAAGACCAATCTGTGCCCAAGCTTTTCCTTCCTGGCTGATGTCTTTAGATGTTGCATCAATATTTCCACTTTCCTCGTGATCCCTTTTGTTTTATAAAGCGGACCAGGTCACCCAGCAGCCAAACAGCACCAGTTAGGACAGTCCAAACATCCACGTTCTTCCTACAGATATAACGACGGTCATTGTCACCAAACAAGGGTGAACATTTAGGTTCATCAGACCACAGGACAGGACGGGCAAGCTGCAATCTGACTCCTTAGGCCTTTTTTTGAAGCAAAGGTCTCTTCTTGGCTTGAGTGGCCTTTCAGCCCATGTTGGTACAGAAACAGTTTCACTAATGATGCCCTCTGATCAGATTCAACCAGCATCTTCAGAGGGTCTTTGGCTTTTGTTCTGGGATCCATCTGCACATTTTAAATCGAAAATACATCCATCTCTCCTTTCTGAGCGCTGTGATGGTTGGACATTCCCATCATGTTCATACTTGCGTAATTGTTTGAACAGATGACCGTGGCATCTTCAAACATCCGTAAATAGTTGCCAGGGATTAATTGGACTTGCACCTTTGCATAACTCTCTTGATGATATCTTGTCTGATGTCGTTTGTCCTTCCCACCGCGTCACACGAGAAAATTATGAAACGGTGTGTTCTCGTTCTGGCCTTGAAGTACAAATGTGTACAAAGGTGTGCCTCCAATTAATTCTAATAGGCCAATAACATGTCAGAGGATTCCAAAGCCATTGCATAATAATCTGAGTTTCAGTCATTGTGTTAATAGACTACAATCGTTCGGAATGCAAACTTCCGAATTTGACGAAAGGGAAAAATCAAAATGTTCTCTCTAGGTTTTCTGGCATTTTGTAAATAAATGGACAAAAATGTGAGTAATGCTAACTAACGTAAAACAACAGACATTTGGACTGATTTAGTTTTAGACAGCAAGATGAAAAAAAAGTGCAAGTTTCCCTTTAATTGCCGTACACTTCAGGCCTCAACTGAAAAGAACCATTGAGAAATGGTTCAGTTACTAGTTATTTTGTGAACCTTTTCTAATTCATGGTCCATAAGTTCAGTCTTTTCACTTTTTTAGCTTGTCTTTCCCTTCCATGAAAAGATAACCTTGTGTAATTATTATTTTTTTATTTTATCCACCCAGAAATATGGCGTACGCTTTGTCTGAGGAGCAAGTTCTGTGCGTCATTTGCATGGACAGCTTCACCGATCCGGTGTCCGTCCCATGTGGCCACAACTTCTGCCTCGAATGCATCAATGGCTTCTGGGACTCCAGCCACAAGTCTGAATGTCCGCTGTGCAAAGAGAGCTTCCAGACCCGTCCGGACCTCAGGGTGAACATCGTCTTAAAAGACATTACTGACCAATTCAAAAGGTGCGGATCTATTCCAATGTCATGCAGTCGTCAAACATGTTCTTCACTAAACTCGAGTTCTGTGTCACAACAAAAGGTCTATGAGGACAAAACAAGCAAGCAGGCCAGAGCCGGCGCCGAGGAAAAACTCCTCTAGACGGTCCTTGAAAGCCGACAGCATAACCTGCGACATCTGCAGCGACGACAAGCTGACGGCGGTGAAGTCATGCCTGGTCTGTCAGGCGTCTTATTGCGAAATGCACCTGGTGCCTCACCTGAGGGATCCGGTGATGACGAAGCACAGGCTGACGGATCCGGCCACCTTCAGCACAAGCCACCTCTGCAGAAACCACAACAGGCCCCTGGAGATGTTCTGCAAGAAGGAGCAGACCCCCGTCTGTGCGAGCTGCACCGAGAGGGACCACAAGCACCACGACGTCGTTCCTATGGAGAAAGAGAGCAAGCGGGTCAAGGTACGTTACTCCTCTATTGTAGATTTTAGGATTATTTCAAGTCAAGTCAGATTTATTTGTGTTGCCCATTTGAACAACAAGGCAATCCAAAGTGCTTCACACCATAAAAACATCACGCAGTCACCATTTGTGAGACAAGTAATGCGTATTAAATTTTGTCAAATGCAATTAATGGAATCATCAACACACACAAATTATGTTGCTCAATGATCCATTGACTCCTAATCAAAAGTAGGACTTTAAAACGCCATCGTCCTGGTTTTAGTCAGAGCACCAGCAGCAGCGTTCTGGATTGTTGCTCGGTTTTTTGTCGCCCACTAACTTGTTTGATTTTACTCTCATTTACACCAAATGATTTATTTCATAACCTTATGAACCTTAGAAAGATTACGTTCTGTTGATCTTTAAGGCAATCCGTGTTGTCACGTTTGATGTTTGTTCAGGCACAGCTGAAGGCGGTTCAAGCAGAGATTCAAGAGATGATCCAGACCAGACTGAAGAAGGCTGAGGAGATCAAGACCTCCATGGAGCAGAGCAGGGTAAGGCTTTCATTTCAGTTCAGGTTCAGTTGTTTTCTCCTTCAAGGTGTCTAGTGGATGTATTATATTTTCTGCAATCACTACTGCGACTGCTTTATCAATACGTCATAAGGAGCTCCTGGTGTTTGATTGAAATGTTCCAGTACAGCTAAGAAAAAATGGCATAAAAGTGAAATCCTTCTTGTCAGTCATCTCAGAAAGTGAATATATCTTATAGACACAGACAGAGTGATATATCCCAGGCCTTTTGATGGTTATTGCTTTTAGATAAAGATAACCCAAACTCAGTATCTCGGAAAGTTTGAAAATGACATTGGAAGCAAAAAGTTATTTGTATTCAGTCCATTAATGGACTGAATACAAGGCCACCAAGGAGTCCCCTCAGTAGAGCTGAGTTTATTTTTATTTTTTGTAATAATTTTCTAAAGGGCCCCATGGACTGATATATGTTGTCCAGTCCTAAGCTGAGTTATCAACAAGTCTTATCAAAACAGAATAATTGTGCACAGTGGGACCTGTAGTTCATTTTCAAGATGTTCAAAAAGAACAATTCTACAAACATGTTGGAAATAATCATTTAAGAATTTCCGTTCTAATTTGCTTTCTTTAAACTGTGAAATCAGTTTTCGCTCTTTCTATACTTGCAGATAGAGAAGGAAAAGGAGATACAAACCAGTGTTCACATAGCCAACCTGGCAATCAATGCCATCGAGAGAAACCAGGCCCTGCTCATCGAGGAGCTCGAAGAAAAGCACGAAGCAGCGAAACGGAGAGCGGAGGATCTCCTGGAAGAGCTCGACCAGGAGCTCGGCGAACTGCAGCGGAGACGCAGTGAGCTGCAGTACCTGGAGAACACCAAGGATCCACTGCACCTGCTGCAGGTCAGTCGTGGACTGATCACCACAAAAAGACCGTTTTAAAATATTGTACAAACTGATAGGACATAACGCAATCTAGTATATCAGATTATACCAGGTCAATTTCACTGATGTAGCCGCGACAGCAGCGATACCAGGCTTGTTTCTACCCTTTAAACATATTTGTTGTGCTCATTTAATAATTTTAGAGCTTCCCCTGTCTGAGCTCTCCACTGTCATCAACGAACTGGTCAGAGGTCAGTGTTGACCCCGACATCTACATCAGACGCGTGAGGACAACCTTCTCCAAGCTGGTGGACCTCTGCCAAGAACTTGAAAAGAATCTTTGCGCCGAAGGTCTGTGACTAATTGATTGACGTTGCATTAGATGTTGCTTTGACATTCTTCATGAGGATTTTACCATTCTCATTTCCAACTTGATTTATGAAATGGTTTGAATCGATTGTTTTTTTTCTGTTTCTTTTCAGAAGTCACCAAGGTGGTCAAATTTGCAGGTATGCGTATGAAGCTTTAAAGGTAGTTAAGGAAATGATTTTTTCCCCTAACACCGATGACTAAACTGTTTAGGGCTTACCAAGACAAAACCTCAGTGACACTTGGAATAATTTCACATCTGATAGTTGACTTGGTTTAATTACGAACCAAAGGTGCAACATTTTCAGCTGCAAATTGCCAACATTGTTCATTGAAGAATGTTGGCTCTCTACCAATAACCACTGAAGAAGACATAAGCGCCACTGCCTTCTTCATAAAATGTGAACAAAAATGGACCAGCATCAGATTTTTCTTTTGTCTTTGGCAAAAGACGGAGAGACATTTCTCCTGCTGGTGTCAGACACGCATTTATTTTGGTTGTATTCAGCTAGAATTCCCTGTGCTTCACCTTGTGTCCTGCTTTTGGAACAGTTCCTGGTCCGTTTGCTGTTCACATAGTTCCAACAGAGTTTGCTTTTTTGTTTCGCATCAAAGTTTGATTGCGCATTCGGACCTCCCCGGAGAGTTTGGTTAAAGCAGGCTAAACGGGGATGATGTGAGATCACCCTTAGAGAGATTAACGTTCTTTATACTTATCCATCCTCAGTGAATGTGACTCTGGACCCTGCAACTGCTGCCAGCTGGCTTCTTCTGTCCCCAGATGGTAAAAAGGTACATTTCACTGAGAGACTGCATCATCCCTCACTATATCCTGCTCTTCAGAGTTTTAGACATGTGAGTTTTGGACTGACAAGTCTCATGACGGTGATCCACAGGTGAGCCTGAGCTCCCAACAGAGAAAGCATGCGCTCCCCAGTGACTCTCGTAGGTTCGATTCCTGTGTTGCCGTTCTGGGGAAACAGAGATTCACCTCTGGGAGACGATACTGGGTGGTCAAGGTAAGAAGTTGACAGAATCACAGCTATTGCTGAACAGTGACAGACAGTGTAGGAAAATTGCTAGCTTGTAGGCAATTCAGAGCTCAAAGATTGATGAGAGTTTGATGAAGCGAAGAGTTTTAAGATTTGGCATTTGAATTAGCAAGTATCACCGGGGCAAATAACTCATCCAGCTGAAGCCCCTTGTGAAATCTCATCAGTTGTTTAATTCTGTTCTCCGATTTATTCAATAGGTCGGGGATAAAACAGACTGGGATCTTGGAGTGGCAAAGGAGTCCATAAACAGGAAGGGCTCCATAACCGTCCGTCCAGACAACGGTTACTGGGCGATCTGCAGGCGGAAGGGGGAGAGTCTCCGGGCCTGCGCCGGACCCTCCGTCATCCTCCACCTCCATGAAATACCTACCAAAGTGGGCATTTTCCTGGACTACGAAGAAGGATCGGTGTCATTCTACAACGCAGACGCAAAGAGTCACCTCTACACTTACAAAGGATGTTGTTTTACTGAGCCCATGTATCCATACTTTAATCCGTGCCTCCACGACAATGGGAGGAACACAGCACCACTGATCATCTGCCCAGTGGATACTGGGCTTATTGTAGAGACTGGAGTGAACTGAAGCCCAAGTCAATCAAACAGAGACAGTGAAGTCCCATGTTCACCCGACTGATTACTTTGCATTTTAAAGCCTTAAGGAAAATGCTTAGGTTGTGTTTGTTTTGTATTTTATGTTTAAAACTAGAAAACCAATGAGAAGGTTCAGGGAACTTCTGAACTCAGTTTACATTTTAGCGCCCTTATTGTAAATTACAGTGTAATTGTCTGTCTCTTTATTGCTTAATGACCAGAGTTTATAATTCTCCTCATTATTCTTTGGGACGTGTCGCAGTTTTACCTTCCACAAACCGACAGTCATCAGCAAAGCCATAAACAGTGAATTATTTTGTTTTACAGGTTGTTGAATCTTTTGTTCTCTGTTTTTCCTATAATGCTTTTGTCCACCATGGCGTTTCATAAAGGTCAATGTTATTTACAAACATGACATCACAGCATGTTCATCTTTCATTTTCCTCTGACGGGTTCTGTGATGTTTGGTGTTTTGAGGGGGCTGACGTCACGTGTTAAGCCGTCAGCAGTTTTATTTTGAAATGCCTCGGAGGAGAGCGGCAGATGTCACAGTCGGACACCGGGTGCGGGGGTCGGAGTCGGACCGTCTCATTTTTCAGTTAGTTTGTAATCAGAAATATAGGAGCACACAGTTCTAGTCTGGAACTGGGGAAAAATGGCAAAAAGGTGAATGGCTAATCAGCGTCAGATCAGCACAAATTTCAATGTAATGAAGGTAATCAGGCAGGAGGTGTCAATGCTACTGGTGTAAACGCTAATTCTAGCATTTCTAAAAGAAATCCACTGTTATGCAAACGTCTGACCATGTGGCGTGAAAACATTTTTTAAAGGGAGGAACGTGTCTGTCTCTGTCAGGAACCTGTTCAGCTGAATGATCAGACAAGAAAGAATTGCAGGCATTGTGCTTTCAATTTAGGACTATTTATAACTTCATCTTTAAATAAAACGTATCAAATGACGTTAATAATGCAAGACTTCGTTGAGGAAACGGTGCACAATTAATACCTGGGAAATACCTGGCAGTGAGCGTGTTTTAGAAGGTCACACAAAACCAAAGAAGAAATGCAAGGAACATGTGACACATGTCAACAATCCCTTCAGTTGTTCACCGTCTCAGTTTGTTGTTTGTTAATGGTTGATGAGATGCAGATGCAGATGCAGATCTGTAACCCGAAAAGCAAATATAGAGCAGTTGGCATGATGAGACAGCTGTAGAGAAAAACTTTAAGTCTAGGTTGTCCTGTATTGAGTCTTCCTGTTGATCTCCCTTTTAAAGATTAGATGTGCAGGGGATGCTCATTTCAATACTACATCAGTCCAACACTTAATGTACAAGAATGTGGCCTTTTTAAATCAAAGCGACCTTCATCCGAGTCACAGCTTCAAGATTTCATTGTAAGGGAAGCATCTAGTGGTGAGCAAGAGTTACAGCAGCCATTTTATTATTTTCACACAAATCTCTGTGTTCAGTAAACCCTCTTAAACTTTCCTGCTCCTTAAAAGTTTAAAACATAGACTAACAATGTGGATCCTATTGTGTTTTTTTCTAGAGCAAAAAAAATAAAATAAAAAATCATTTCATTTCCTTTAGGATTATATTATTTTGTTTCATGTTCAAGTTAATCCCCCCTAAAGAATTTCCTTAACGGCAACCCTATTTCATGCAATCACCTGTAAATGTCTTCAAGTTCAAGGTGCACAATATCTAGAATAGCAGCTGCCGTATTTCAGTGTCAGCAGGACTGATAAGACTGCAGATTTTGGAGGGTATTTCATTTCCTTTGCAATTTATTCAGATGTTGGATGATATCTCTGGCCAGTTGGATGGCCTCTCTCCTCTTTTTAAAAACCAGCGCCAGCAGTACCTCCTAATACTTAAGCGTTTTAAATTTCAGACATTTGCATTAATCAAGAAAACTGAGGTTGAACACTAATTCTGGCCAGTTGCTAAACTCTCTCGTTAAACCAACCATAACATGGGTATAGATTAGCAGCTGCCATATTCTGAAACAACAAAAAAACACCTCATCCTAGTGCAAGAAGTTTGTTTTTTTTGAAAAATGAGAGTTTTTTTTGAAATTGTGGTGTTTCCATTAGTTATCATCCATAGTCATATGGTCAATGAAAATGCAGATTTTCATTGGACACTGGTGCTCCAGCATTTTGTAAAACAAAAAAAAATTCTTTGTGACAAAGATATGTTCAAGGCATTTGTGGCTTTTAATTGGCAAAACAGAAATGGGTTTTCGTGAGCGCTCTTATTTTCCCCTAAAGATCGTCATCTCAAGAAAAATGAGATTGGAACTGAAAACTGGCTCACAAGGAAGAGAAAACCTCAACCGGAGGAGAAATTATGCAATACAATTCATGCCACTCTGACAAAAGACATTTCTAGATGAGTCAGCAGCCAGATCATTGAGGTGGTTATGTTTGTGAGCATAATGTCTATCGTGTTTTGTCACACCATAATTGTTGTGTCCTTGAGAAACATCTGCTAATGTCTGCAGATTCTTTTATTAAAATGAACCAATTACTGTTCACTTCATATGTACTTCATGAATGTTTACTAATCATAATTAAGTGCAGCGTTTTCTCATTGTCTGAGTTTATTGAACGAGAGACTTTCCTGCTGACTAACATTAGCTGACCTTTCAAAGATAAGTGACGTTGCTGTGAGGAAACTAACCAGGCTTCAGTGGGTCGATGCTAATCTACTAAATACCCAAACTACTTCTCTCAGAAAGCAACTTTACTCTTCACCACTGGACAAAGGCTCAGGAAATTATTCACCCTAAAAATGCACATTTGAGATGGAGACTTTGACATCACTAATTTGACCTATTGTGTTACGTATTGATGTCTTTGTTCATCTACAACTTTTGGTGACATTGTACCATAGTACACCATACCATAATATAGAATTTAGAAAACGATTTATTTATTTATTTCCATACCATAGTATAGAATACTACACCATACCATGGCAACTTTATTCACAAAGCACTTTAAAACAACCATGTAATACATGCATGTATGTTTCAGTAATTGTTTTCCATTCTATGGCAAATTTTGACAGTTGGCAGTGAACAATCCCCTCTAATTTGCAAAGGTTGGTCACAATATCCAATAACAGAAAAGGCCCTGAGTTTTCTCCTGAACCTTGGTACCTGCAGCAGCAGCTGTTTGACAGACCGAAGGGGCCAACAAGGCAACAGAGAAGCTCAGTGGGGTAAAATACGGCAAGGACCTTTTAATGATTTAAAAACAAAACTTCAGTATGATGCCCACTTTCTTCCTTTTACATGTTACACATCCTTTCCACTTCAGACATGAAAATGTGAACTATAATAAACCCACCTGAAAGGGAGAAAAGCGAACGTAATCAGAAATGCCCTCTAAAAATGTTTCTTATGTTGAGGATATAAAGAAGGGTGTACAAGTACAGTAGGACGCCGAATCGGCCTGGAACCAGAAAATGCTTGATGTGATTAAACGTCTGTTTGAACACGGGGGTTCCTTGGAACAGAGAGATAGTCGCAGAGAGAGGGGGGGAAAAGAGGAGGAGCAGAGATAAAACCTGAGGTAAAGGCTGAAGTAGACTCTGGGGAGGCTTTAAATGTTCCCAGAACAACAAGCTACCTTTACTGTCTGATGTAGGCGGTGAGTAAAGCTCTTTTAGTCTTTTCAGCATGTCATAATGTTGCTGTTGTTGTTTTGTTTTGTTTTTTTTATGCAGAAAGGCTTTTGGTGCTTACAGTTTGGATGGGAAATTAGTGGTTCAGTAAAAAAAAATATTGAATAACTTTTTTTCTGCAAAAAATGCATCATTTGTTGAAGTCATTTACAAAACTTAGTATTTTTAATGTTTTGATAAGATTAGGCTAGTCTTCTTTTATGCTGAGCGTTGATGTGAAGGAATGCGGACTCTGTGGTCAAACAGGCAAGACGTGTGAGAGCGGGAGTTTTTACCTACAGATGGCCTCTCAGTGGTGCCACTCTGATCGTCCACGTTCCCGAATCCTGAGTCCAGCTGGCAGCGCTGATGCAGGCCAATTCCTGGCCAAAACATTACCTAATCACTTATTTTGATCCTCCGTGTAATCTGGTTTCTATTAATAGTCGGGTTTTACGCATTTTGAACTACATTTTACCAGTTGTTTCAAACGTTATAGTAGAACTTCAGAGGATGTTTGAGCCTATTTAAAGATGATTATGATAACAGAATGGTTCATTTCAATCATATGTTGCAGTCATGATTACTGATTGTTTTTTTTTTGGTTGGATGATTGATTGATTGGATGCAGACAATTAAGCCTTGAAGAGCTACTTTCATGATGACAGTCGAGCAATGTGCTGAAAATGGAGTATGTTTTGTGATTTCTGTTTTGATACGAGGCATTAAATGAAATGTAATGTTATTTTCAAAGAAAATGAAAACAAACTCTCTGAAAATGAGTTGTTTAGTAATGCATTTTAGGAATCCATTTCAAGTAGAAACAATCTGACAGAATGGACAAGTATACCTAAACAGGATGTATGTCTGTACACTATTTATAGAACGTCTATATACTGTATGCGTCCAGGATTTTTTTTTACAGTTTTTCAAAGGATGCCGCATATTTCTCAAACATAAGCGTCCGATGTTTCACTGCTTCACAGGCCTCAGGCTGTAGACTTTCTTCCATCGACTCCAGCGACCTGTTGTAGCATCAGGACCTGGACACGTTCCCCTTCACTGGTGGATCTCCTGTCTTTTGAAATGGAAAATCTGTCATCTTGATACCAACTTGAAGACGTCTTTAAAGGGAATCTAAATTCAACCAGAGCAGACCCGAGCCGCTAAATGACACGAGAGGATCCCGTGGTGTGTGTTTTCTTTTCTGGTGGAAGCATGGCCTTGTAGCTGAAGCAGATCTGCACCGCAGGAAGTCACTGAAGCTTTGGAACGAGAATTTGGAACTATGGCGTTTCCATTTTTTAACCCTGCACCTTCCTCGGTTCCCCAATTAATCTTTCTTGTTGGACTGCTCCTTATTGGCCAGTGGAGGCCATCGGGGGTCAGCTGCCAGAATGACACCGAGCCGATCGTGTTGGAGGGAAAGTGTCTGGTTGTGTGCGACTCAACCCCATCGGCGGAGCCATCAGGTCACGCTCTAGGCATGTCGGTGAGGTCAGGAACGGGACGGGTGGCATTTTCAGCCATACGCAACACCAACCATGAGCCATCGGAGATGAGCAACCGCACCATGACCATCTACTTTGATCAGGTGGGTTGAAATAAACCAATAGAGTGAACCCCTGGTATTCACAAGGGGTTATAGGGACGAGAGCAAATAGCTTAAACTCTATGAATCCTTGAGGTACTCTCTACAAACACTTATAACTGTCTATTTTAATACTTCAATCATTAAATATACCTCGCTATGCATGAATACATACAGTAGAGACCGCCATCTTCCTTATCGCCACAGTCTGTGCTAAGGAAAATGGATGCTGCTCATGGACTGGCAGTATTGTAACACCAGCCCCATAGCATTTTCTTTCTAATACCTCAGACATACTTTGCGATAATAAAAAAAAAAAAAGCAGATCGACAAGCATTCCCTGAAAAATCTGAAGTCAGGTTCAAAGTCGAACCCCCAAAAAAGGCTCTATAAATTCAGCCAATTTAACAAAATCTTACAGCCGTTAAATTTAGCATGCAGCCTTTTAAGTTATACCTACTATAATCTTAGTAGGTATAACTTGCTTCAGTAGAAAAATGGAAAACCATAAAGTATCATGAGCTGTGTTTGAGTCGGAGCTAGGTAGTCTCCTCATAAAAATAGTTTTATCAATAATCACTTAAAGAACACAGCAGAACATTAACTTTTTTTTTTCCTTTTTTTTTTAGTGTTGATTTTTTTTTCACATTTTCTCTCCAAATTTCTGAGGCCCCCATCACGCCCCCTGGTGGACGCCATTGTGAATAGACAACGAATACATGGCTTAGCATGATTCACTATTTGACCTCATGACTCCAAAGAACACCATTGGACAATCTATCCATATTTGCTCCACCTTGCCTGTCATTTAAAGCGGTGTGCAGAATTTCTTGTTAGAGATCAATCCACACCTTTTGAAGCTTTTAATCACCTGCTGGAAAACATCGTCTTCAGATTATTTTCTAATTTAGCTTTGCTGTGACTTTCTTGACTATTAATTAAGAGGAACTCTGTATCTCTGTCTCTTGCTCTCTCCTCTCGTAGATTTTAGTGAACGTTGGCAGCCATTTTGACCCGGCAACTAGCATCTTCGTAGCACCCAGAAAAGGAGTCTACAGCTTCAGCTTTCACGTTGTTAAAGTTTACAACCGGCAGACGATACAAGTGAGAAAAAACTGCTTAAAGTCTCAGCTAAAGCTGCACTCCTACTTCTGTCTGAATATTGTTTCCATTTGTTTATGTCTGTGACAGTTTCACAAATCCTGCTACTTTTCTGCTTGGCCTTGTCTTTCTAGGTAAGCTTGGTTCTCAACGGCTGGCCGGTGATCTCGGCCTTTGCGGGTGACCAGGATGTGACACGGGAAGCGGCCACCAATGCAGGGCTGGTATTGATGGAGCGAGGGGACAAAGCTTACCTTAAACTGGAGAGGGGAAACCTGATGGGTGGGTGGAAGTACTCCACCTTCTCTGGCTTTCTGGTCTTCCCGCTGTAGGCAGGATGTTGTATAAAATAACGATTGGTTCATTTCCCAAAGGGGAAAGCAATGACGGATACGTTTCTGCTGTAATATTAGGATCCACATTGGACTGCTTAATCCTCCCGCAGTCCTAAAAGGGAACTTTTTTATCCTGTGCGTGTTTGTTCACTTTAGGGTCTCACTGAACCAATACGATTTCTTTTCTCCTGGTTTTGGGAACTGGCGGGCTGATAAGATATTCCCATCAGTTCCCTGCTGTCCAGCCGTGACATCTGCTGCGCTCTTCCCGAGCGACTTCAAGCTCGGACTGCGGGAAGGTTAAGATGTTAGATGAGTGGATGGACTGGCTTTGCACCAAACAGTCTTGAATGTAATTTCCATGACCATGGTACTTTTGTGGCTCGTCAACTGTTCCACAGACTTAATGCGTGTTTATGTGCTTGCTTAAACATGGTGTAGCCTCTTTAATGCATGAAAACCAAATGTAAGACATGTTTGTTGGCAATAAAGAAAACAAAACCAACCACTGTCTCTTTGTTTATTTTTAATATATTAACTGTTATGGCTTGCTCAAATGGTCAGCTAAAACTATTGTTAAAAATAAATGTGTAGATTTAAAGCTTCGATGTGGAATATTTCCTTTATAACCACTGATGGAAATGCTTTTCAAATAGTTAAGATTGTTTATTCCTTCTCTCTGTCCGTCCATCCAGATGTCACTCCTTATGTTACAAGTAAGACTACCTTGAAAATAGCTTTGAGTGTTGTGCTCATTTCTTACTTGTAAAGAAAATAACATTTTGGAGTTACAATGTATCCATTAAATCTTTGTTTTTTCCCAATTTCCTGCATTTATGAACTGACAGTTGAAAAAAAATTATAAGTTGCATAGAAAAGATTGAAAGTTTCCCTAAAGATTCTTACTGTCCCATCCAGGCACCGTTAAATTATGTTAAAGCAACAACATATCAAAATCTATTACGGTTATTGAAACTGACGCATTGCTTTTAGAATCCCAAATAGCTATGAAATCCTTTTTTCGCTCCTGCTGATGTACAGAGACCGTCCTCCGTATCTTTCTCTGCGGTGGATCCGGTGGCAGATGGAGGACTGGCTGTGGAGGTGGGAACCGGTGCCAGAAACTCGCTGGGTTCATGCTGGACCATCACAACTGATTTGTGTCAGCTTCCTGGGACTCAGCAGAGGCCTGTGTTAGCACTTTGGAGATTCGCGTATGGAGTACAAAACTGCATTATGTGGAGACGAGAGGAAAAAAGGTCAAAGACTTCCAAAGACTTCTGTGTGGACGTCTCTGAGAATCGAGTGCGTATCCGAACCAAGTAGCAAATTATTAGCTCTCCACTTCTTATCTGTTTCAAAAGGTGTAGGAGGAAGTGAGCACTTATTCACCCTATCCCTTTTCTCAATTTAATGACATATATAACTTACTGACTAGTTAATTTTCAGAAATTTGCAACTAAAAACATGTTATGGTATACCTTTTCAATTTAATGTGCTAAAAAAAAACTAAATTACATAAAATAAAAGGATTACAAAGTCATAGCAGGACAAGAAAATTTACTGACCCATGATAATTACATTAATAACAATTGTAAATTACCGGACATACGGCACCAGAACAATTACCAGCTCCTTGTCAAAGTACACCATATAATATGCTTCATAATCTGTGTATTTACTGAAGGGCAAATAAATTGATTATATCTCTTGTTATCACAGTACTATATTCATGCAGCAGCCATATTGGATTGCGTGGTTGGCTGCCCAACTCTCAATTTCCAAGTTGGAATGAAAAGGTCATGAGGCATTTTTGTGGATTTTTAATACGTTTGCCTTCCTTCACCAAATGTAACACAGCAAGAACCCACATCAGCACACCCGCACCAAATCATCTTTTTAACAGACAATGCCACGGAAGTACTTTACACTCACCTGCTGCAACACTTCATTGAAGTTACAGCACTCGAATTTAAACGTTTTAAATTCCAACTTTTCACGTAAAGCACATTGTTAAAAATCCTTAAAGCTTGTCATTCACTGTTTTATTAAGACACCTGATTCCAAAGCCTGTACAAAATAAAGCAAAAAACAGTGCAGTGTACAAAAAAAAAAACAGCATTTGTACCTTTAATTTATATTTATATGTACCATATCTTTAAAACATCTTGTTGCAAAAATAGAATATAAAATAGTTTTCTGTCAGTGAAACTAATGACCTGCTAAAAACCCCCATAAAAAACTGAAAAACTCAGCTTCTACACCTTTCTTAAAAACACATTCCTGAAAAGCGTTCACTTCTTCTAATTATAGTCAGATGGTTGTGATGGCAAGTTCTGGCGTCCTGAGGCATGTTGGCTCTCTGATGGTAGATATTTTCTGACCACAGTTGGTGAAATAAAAAAAACCCCCAAAAAACAGCAGCCACCTTGGCTTGTATTTAATGGTGACTGTGCAAAATGCTGACCTGGAGTTTTTGCCTGCTGCTAAAACCAATTCCAAACAAAAGAAGCTAAATGAATTAGAGTAGTAGTAAAAAAAAAAAAAAGAAAAAAAAAGATAATGAAAAGCTACAAAAAGCTGCATTAATGCATTTATGCTACAAGAAATAAATAACTAACAAACAAAGCTAAACCAAATATCCTGTTTTAGTTGAAAAAGAGCATAAAAAAAAAAGAACAGTTCTGGGAGTCTATGGATGAGCTGCACTTGTGCGTTGTTGTGAGGAGTTAACAGTAGATGGCGCCGTTGGGTGCCTCCTTCTCTCGGAGAAGATGATGTGCATCGTGTTGTTGTGTCCTTTCTGCAGTCCAGTCACAGTGGAGCAGTGAATGTTGAAAGAGTCGGGGCTGGAAAACTGACGCTGCGGAGAGAAGAACGCTCGGTCAAAAAAAAAAGGTCTGAAATTGAACACGCCGATACGTCTGATGGCCCGCAGCTTTGACGGCTGAGCGTCGATTGAGAGAGAACGCTTTTATGAGATTGTCTGATGATGATCGACATACCTGACACAGATGTGTTGCTTTGCCGCAGGATGTCAAATGAGCGGGTTGAGTGGGTTCTACAGAGGACGACTTCATTTTAAGGTCTGCTGCTCGGCGGGCCTGATCAACATCACACCGATTTGTAGCCCAACCAGGAGACGGAGCTAAAAACAAAACAAAACAATAAATAAATCTCAACATGTAAAACCATGACAGATGACTTGTTCCGAGTCAGTTATTTTCCTAATCAATGGCTGCTTCAGTTGACAGCATCTTCCTCACCTCTGACTGCTGCATTGTCTCCTTGACTTACTGGCCAAGCACCGGCTATTTCCTGAAACGTATAAAAAATAAAGTTTTTGTGTTTGACATGGAAAAACTGTTGGTTGGAAGCCAGATAGTGACTCCCTGAGTCTAATCTAAAAACTGCATCAGTATTCCTCAGAGGACGAGACACGAATTGTTACATTTTTACATGGCAAATCTCTCTTTCTTGTAAATTGAAAGAGTAAATTGCAAAATTACAGGTGGCCATGCAATTCCACCACCTTATCTTTAAACATCTTTAAACTGATGTTGAAATAATTTTTACATTTGCTTTCTTCACTACCCTTTCCTGTAAAAAAAACTGCCAAAAAAAACCCTAGTGAAGCAGGAAGTGATATGCGCAACAGTTCCTCACACAAGCAAAAATCTGCAGTGTGGCAACACCACAGGACTGGCCGAGTTGCTGCAATACGAAGAAGAATCTCCCCCGTCCTCACTCAGCGCCACAGTCTTCTTGTTGTTTAACTGGGCTAAAGACCTCTCCTTTCTCTTTGATTCTCACCATAAAGATGATGAGGATCTTCAGTTATGATGGATATGATGAACAAACTGTTTTTATTCATTCCCAACTCTGGTTGGTAAAATGCCAGGTCATTTTACCTACTGATTTTCACACTTGCTTTCAGTATATCTGACAGAATTTTTCACCTGAACCGGCGGCGGTCCCGTCCGTACACTGTCACAAATGCTTGGCGCTGCAGCTCTGACTGGTTCTGCTGCAGGAACAGCAAAAAATCAAGAGTAAGAAGTCGAACCTCCGGAAGCCAGGCGGAATTGATTGATAATGCGATCAGACTGACCTGAAGTCTCAGTAACGGAGAGCTTTGTCATCCCATGCGTAATTCTTTCTTGTTCATTTTGGTCCTTGAAAGGGGAAGAGAAAGACTTGAGTCAGAAAGGGGGCAAAATTTTTCTAACAAAAATAATATTGTGATGCGTCATGTTAAATTCTGCATCACGCCGACGTGGCTGGACTTTGTCCCTCACCAGTCTCTGCAGGACTTGGTGGACGGCGTCGTGGATTGCGGGTTTGTGCATCTTGAACAGTTCTTCCATCACGGTTGTGCATTCTGTCGACAAACCGAAGACACGTTAACTTCCAGAATTTCACGCTCAGTTCATTTCTCTATACTTGGGACTGTTCTCACCAGATTAAAAAACAACTTTAGTTAGAGTTTAGTTTGACTCAATTCACATGTTGGTTATCTTTGAACAAAGTTATGGACAGAGGCTTAATTCAGTTACTTAACAGGAATTATTTACTGTTGCTTAATATAACATAATCTATGTTATGTTATATTGATGTAGGTGTGACAGTCTAGCCTGGCAAAAGTAAACTGCTTCCTGTTCTTTGCTTCCTGGTCTGGACCTGTTTTCAATTTTACCCGGTCGCTAACGTTCGGCCGTGACGTAACGCGCCAGTTCGACGCTAGGAAGTTTTCCGGAAATACAACCGTCTTCCACCACGAAGAGAGACGCACCGAGTCAAACTAGACGGCTGTTAATGTAAGTTCACTATTTGGGAGAGCGCCCAACGCAGACTTGAACGGCTCCGTTCACTTCCTGCGCTGCCGTTGTTGAAACTACGCGCGTTGCTACTGAAACCGCAGAAAATCGACGTCATCGTTTACGACTTCTCCTTCTGTTCGCTGATTGGCCTTACGCGTTCCAAAGCCGAGATGGACCAATGAGGTGACGTGGCTAATCACAGGCAGCTGTGTGGCTGAAAATTATGTAGTAGCTAACAAATTCAGCATACGTTTTTTTTTTTAACACAATACAAGATAGACGATTCTTTTGTATTAATTTGTTGTTGTTTTTTTCTTTCTGTCAATGTCTCTCATTTTGGTATACTGTGCCACTTTTACTTACTGCGGGAGGAAGGCCTTTGTTGGGGATTTGAGCGCCAACACTCCTGCATGAGATCGATGAGTCTCGTCAGTCCCGCCACTCCGGCATCCGTACACCTGATGTCGTCCAGAGAAGGACGGTCTCCCATGGGGATGCGGATGGGCACTATCGCGGACATGGCGTCTGCAGGAAAGGCAGAGATTGGAGTCAAAGGTGAGATAAAAATTGTCCCTTTGGTGACATTTGAAACTGTATTCCGGTTATTTAAGATGATAATTATGTATAAGGCAGACACTTTGTTAAATATTGAAAGTTAAATGTGCATAAAGCTAAACATCCTGGTTCTTCAAGATAAACAGATGGTAACTGAGTTAATTTCATGTTGGTTGTCACGGATACAGCTAAAGTATTGATTCCCTGATGTCATTTTTTTGGAGGGGAAATGCTGACTGCAAATCATTCATCCTTAGAAAGACATAACTTTGGTTAACACTCCAGTAGTGATAACATTTCACTTTTCACTAATTCATTTAACAACTCATTTTTTAGCATTACCAGCCAAACCTCAAAACAGGACGTCTGTGTATTTTTCTTTAAAAGAAAAAGAAATATGTATTTTTCCAGGTTCAACATTCCTGATGATTTTCTTGCATATTTTTTGTAATATTCTGGGAATTTGAGTGCAAATTAAAATGCCATATTTGTTATTGTTGATAGCCGGGTTAGTGGTTTGATCGGCATTTAAAAAATAATTTAGGATCTTCACTGCCTACAAAAAATAATCACCTGCTTGGATGTTGTATCCTTTTCATTGCTTTTGCAAATCAGTAAAAATCAAAATTTGGCTCTTTTTGACATTGAAATACTAACGCTGCATCTATTAAATAATGACTTAAATGGGGTGAGTATTTATGTTGTTACTTATTTTGTGTAAAATATTTGTATTCTGTTGGGGTTTTTTATTATAATTATTTTGTAGAAACCAGTTTCAACATTAACACTTTTGACATTAAAGGTTTTTTTGCCAACAAAAAAGACCAATTTTATTTCTCATGATTAATTTGTATGAGGGTAAAACATTGAAGAAGGTGAATACTTTGACATAAAGGGGTTTGAAGTAAAAGCATGTACTTAAACCTGGAAAATGACAGAAGCAAATTCTATCATTTTTCAGACTTTTCAAGCAAAAACACGACTTGGCATTGGAACAAATTAGGAACTTACTTGGATATGGTTTTTTTCCTGTCGCAATGGACCACAGCAGTATACCAAAGCTGAAACAGAGGTTAAGAGAGTCAGAGATTACTGCAGCAGCTAACTCACCTCCTTATTGCTTTTGTTGCTGGCAATCAGAACCTAAAGAAATGGAGCCTACGGCCATTTCAACAAAAACAGGAATTAGAGCTTCATTCAGTTGATGAACTCATCTGAAAAATATTTCCTCATATCTTTCACTTCCTACCAGGAGTGAAAGATATAAACTGCTTGATGAACAACAAAAGTGCCCTGATGTCTCTCTACCTATAGATGTCAGAGGCCCGTGTGGGCTTGTATGAGGTGTCGAACGCCTCTGGAGGCATGTATCTCATGGTCCCGCCTGGATCTTCGCTGTCCTTCTTGGAAGTTCGAGTGATGCTGCTGGAAAACCTGGCGAGGCCAAAATCTGTAAGCTAAAGAGAGGATATGAAGACAATCAGACCATAATATTAAAACCATTTTATAATTCTGATTGTGACATGTGAAAAAATAAATAAATAAAAAATCAGAAATTTAACATGAAAATTAATTTAAGTTTAAAGACGTTCCTTTAATGTTCATTTCAGCTGGCTGGTTCCCACTCACACATTTTAAATATGTCTAATGTCAAGTCATGTAATCAGTTTTTTTTATTAAAGATCTTTATAGCTTAGAATTATAAACACCAAAATTATGTTTTGTTTGTTCACAATTTATCTAATTGAGAAAATTGTTGGTACCCCTCTGTTAATGACGTTAAAATAATTTGAAACTGACAAGTGTCAGGGTGCATCAGTGTAATATCGCACTATCCATTGTTGTTTGAACCAAAGCGGAAATCAAAGCATAAAACAATGAGACCGGAATTCGCCGCAATTCACACTGACAAGCTGCAAAGCTTCTGGGAAAATGTTCTTTTGGACAGACGAGACAAAACTGGAGCTTTTTGGCAAGAGGCATACCAAGAAAAGAACACCGTTCACACCATGACATATGGAGGAGGTTCTGTTATGTTCTGAGACTGGTTTGCTGCATCTGACACAGGGTGTTTTGAAACTGTGCAGGGTACGATGTAATGCCAAACTATCAAGGAATTTGGAATTTGGACGCCACATAACATAGTGAGTAGAGCAAACATAGGTATGCGCCTGTCCTGGGTTCAACTCTCAACCTGCTAACCTTTCCTGCATGTCTTCCCCCCTCTCACCTGTCTACCTACTGTCGGAAAAATTGAAAAAGGCCAGTAGCGCCAGCCATAGACGGATTATATACATATATAAAAATACTATCACTGCATTCTTGACACAATGTGCTGCCTGGTGGCCCATGGGAAAAGCTTTCTTTTCCCACAAAAAGAATGCTTGATCTTAATTGGAAGACCTATAACTTACAGCTTAATAGGTTAATGACTGTTTCAATGTTTTTTTTTTTTATAATATTTTTGAGACATAATTCAAATACCCATGTTTAATTCTCATTAGTTCATTTTTTGTAGATTTTTATTTATTATTACTCTTGTCAAGTTATTTGAAGGGCCATTTTTTAGTGAATTTTTTGTTTATTAACAGAGGGTTACCATCAACTTTTGGATTGCAACAACTTTTTGGATGTGGGTAAAGGTGTGGAGCTCTTGCCAGAAGCAGTGGACTCACCTTGGCATTTAAATCCGAGTCCAGCAGCACATTACTGGGCTTCAGGTCCAAGTGCAGCACAGGAGGGGAGAGACTGTGGAGGAAGTTGATACCCAGAGCAACCTGGTGAGTCAGTCTGAAAGCCAGTGGCCAGGGCGGGGGTCCTTGAAAAGTTTGCTGATAAGAGAGATTACATAGTTGAGGTGGTATGCCACAGTCATTTAGTTACTTTTCTTACTTTGTACCATTTTCTACTGTAAAGACATTGTAGTTTCAAACTAAACTTGAACATTGGTATCTTTTCATGCCACAATACTTGCTCTTGCTCTTGCTCTGACTGCAGTTTATTCATGACCTCGATATACTTGCAATCCAAACCACAACATTTTCCTTAGACTTTCTAGGTCAACTTGTTGTAAAAACCCAGACAAAGTTTTGTGAAAGCTGCGAAACAGATCGTCTCTAAACACACAACAATGCCCTTGGGTGGAATTGCGTTGCGTCAAGATAGTAAATTCGACTGTAAAACATTCAAAGCCAGTGAGATAATTCAATGCGGACCATGTGCATACCAGGAGGTTAGCCAATGATCCTCGCTCCATGAAATCCATGACCAGTCCCAGCTGAATTGACGACCCTGAAGAAGGTGGTTGACCTTTAAAAATCCCCATGACTTGAAGGACGTGGCGGTTGGACCCTTGATGCATCATGTCCAATTCACGCAGCAGATCCTGGCTTGTGCTGTGGTTGGAGGTTTTCCCATCAGTACGTTGTTTTGCAGCTCCGCCAAACGGCCGGCCGTATGCATTACTCACCCATCGTCGTAATGAAGCAGCTTAATGGCCACATCGAAGCACCACCGCAGGTGTTTGGCTTTGTAGACCTGTCCGAATCCTCCAGATCCGATCACCTCCCAGCCCTCCAGATCAGAGTCTTCAACCACTTTCAAAGCAGGTCTGTTATGCAGCGCCATGGTTCACTAGAAAAAAACCATGAGATCCTTCATTGTAGGTTAAGCTAAAGTTTCTATTATCCTGTTCACATTTCAACAAGAAGTTATTAGATATGCGAGAATGTTCACAGACTCAAACTTAAGAGTTCTTCTAAATTAATATACCTTTCCATAATATACATTTGGTGCTTTTATGTTGTTTTTGTTTGTTTTATAGGAAATGACTACTGTTTTAACGTGGATGTCAGAATATTGCAATTGACATGAAAATAAATAATACTAAGCAATCAAAATAGCGTGAAAAGAAAGAAGTAAGGATACATCAGTTTAAATATGTCAATGAATTCTGGAAATACATATTGAACTGCTGAAATCTTAGTCGTAATTTCATTGACTGGCCTGTACTGTTCATGCTGCTGAAATATAACAGATTATGATTCACGACGAAATCAAAAATGTTCTTCTGCTCGTAAATGCTACCAATCGGCTTCACGTAACCACGTTTCTGTTCAGCAGATTATGGATAAATTACAGAAAATGTGCAGCGTCTTGCGAAAATATTTACCCCACTGAGAATGAATATTTCTACCTCTGAACCTTGAATGAAAATGGATTATTTCAGCGTCTGTGTCATTTTATTTACAGAACATGCCTCCAGCTTAGAACATGTCATATTATTTCTATTATATGCTTATACATACAACACTGAAAAGGACTGTGCGGATAATTTAAGTAGATGATCATTATCCCACCCCGAGCACCAGGTACACACTACGTGTAGTGTGTAAACGCTACACATAGTGTAGTGTCATGGCAACCTTCTCTGTGATGTTTTGGTTTGAACTCGTTGAGTTAGCCGCTGCCTCCCGGATTCATGTTTGCTATTGAAGGCTGCCACTGAGCCAGGACTTAGAAGTTCCCAGCAGGTAAGCCAAACGCAGCTCAACAAGTTTATGATGGAGGCCAATAAAACATGGTGCCACCAAAAGTAGTCTGAGTGACACAAATTAGTGGGTCTACATCATGCTGTGCCGACCTGAGTGAAACACATGGTGAGCCACTTGGTCATTGAGAAGGATGTCAGTACTTTTGGAAGAGCCTTTTTTTCTTCTTTTTGAATGTAAAGAAAAACTCCTTTTTTGATTATTCCTCTGACAAATAAATGAATGAAAATCAACAAGCCAACCAACAATATATGCATTTATGTCTAACAAACTGCATGTTTACAGATAACTTGCAAGCATGAAGCCTTTTTTGAAAAGTCTCTGTGCAGGTACTGGTACAACAACCTTCACAATATACTCCATTCGCTGCTAATGTTTGGGCATTTTCGGAGTCTGAGGGATCTATTTTACTCAACTTCAAAACGGGAAATGTCTCGGTATGCACTATCCAGAAATACAACGACCTTAAACGATGTATTTTACCAGCAAATTGGGGGCCGGAGGGAAAAATTTTACCTTTTTGAATAATCAATACAAAGCCAAATGTTGGAGGAAATGACTAAAGCAAAAAAAGTCAGTCATTAAGGAGGAAAGCAACTTCTTTATCTTGTCTGAGGAGTAGTAATAGTTTGGTTTCAGAACCAATCGAACAAATCTGGGAACTTTACAGCAACACAGCTCCTTTTACATGCATGGCCCTCACCCTTCAGTTTGAGGTTAATGTTTTTCACCAAGTCGTCCGCCACCTAAAGTAGGTGTCGTGTCAGAATACCTCAGAAAGGTCCCAGGGTGAGGTTCAGTCTTCAGTCCTCCCTGCACCGAGTGATCAATGAGAATATTCCTTCTCAAAACTTCATTTTCAAACTATAATAATGTACTTCCTCTCCTGTATGGTACCCTGTAAGTAAGGAAGCCATGTTCCTTTGTTGAGCGTTCTTAGCGGAAAAAGTGAGTGGGATTCAAAGTCAGAGCAAGTCACCTGTTATAAGCACTCCCCTCTTGAACATCGGCTTATTTATATCAATAATAGTTTAAAAAAAAAACTTTTTCATTCTGAAAAGCAAACCTGGACAACCTTTCTACTACAAGGTAGCACTGCTTAATGAATCAAAGTGATTTACTTTTTTTTTTTTTTTTTTTTTTTTACAGAAAAACGGGGACTACTCACCCTTTGGGATTTGTTCTGCTCTCTCATCGTTCAGTTGTCATAAAAGAATCCAAGGAGGGCACAAAAAAACCCTCTTATTCCCCGAAGTTCATCTCGCAGGTTGTCGCTCTTGGTGAATAGAGAAGTGAAAGCGCTTAGAGCCGTCCCATAAATCCCACTCACTTCTGCTTCCGGGTTGCACAACGAGCTGGGTTTTCTAATCCAGTCCTGTTGACCAGTTTGACGTTAAGCCCACGACTCAGTGCAGACCTGCGTTTTTTTCCTACAGGTAGTAGCTAATTTGGGAACCAGATTAAGGAGTAAACTGACTTAAATGAAGCTTCCTCATAATCGTAAAAGATTTGAGTTTATTTTATGCTGAAATCTTCCAAATCTCAGAAGTTAACCGTTTCAGTATTATTGTTATTATTATTACTCCTTTTACTGTAAAAATGTTGTATTCCAAGGCATTTCTGTAAATGACAACAGAATTTAGTTTAATTTCTTTCACAGAGGGCGAAAGAAAGAGATAACAGGAGATTTATAGTTGTAGGTAATAAAGGACCTCCTCACACTTTTTTCAGGAAGTGATGAAACAACACTGATAAAATCAAGGGTCGATGGTTTTGTCCCGCTTTCAGGAGCAACAAACCTCTGATCTGACAAAAACCAACTCTGAAAGTCCTTAATGAGGGTACTTTTTGCATTTGCAGCCACCTGTGTACAGAGTGTGTGTTTGTGCTGAAACCACGTCAGCACGAGCACTTCTGATTCATGTCTGAATCGGGTCAAAGGTTGAAGTGTTACCCAGAGAAGTCAGGCTGTATGACTTTAGAAGGACCTCAAAAATACTTTTGGAAAAGTAGAGGGAGTGTGAAGAGAAGATCCAACTAGCAGCAGATTAACGACCAGAGCCGGAGCTATGTCGGACAGGGCCCCGGGCCAAATTTTATCTGGGGATTCAGTGCGGATGTGTTCGGTTTACGTCTCCAAAGCAACCCACATGTACAGAAGAAACAAACCACATAATTACTTCTGTTTAAAGAAGTAATTATGGGTGGATTATGATTTGGTTTTATAGTTCATTCAGCAAAGGGAACTGCATTATCATTACAAGATCAAAAAGCAAAGGAAGTTGATAATACGAAAACACAATAGCAACGGGCTTTTGTGGAGCATCGACTGCACATTCAGTACAGAGGTCTGTTTGGATGCGTAGTCAGTGCTTTGAGTGGTGTTACTGTGATCACACACTTTTTCATAAGTTCGTAATGATCATTTTTAGCCATCTTTTACGTCCTGATTTACAACGTATGGCTTCTGGTGCGGAATTACGACGCACATAAAGCCTCATATCAACGACACAGAAGTCAGCTAAAATGCAACATGACCATTCAAAACGACTGGATATGTATTCGAATTAGTACCACATACAGAAGTGGCAAAGATTAGATTTTTTTTTGAAGGGTGTAAAGCCTACTTTATCTCCACATCATCTATTGTTGCTTTTTTTTTTCTTTTTAAAATTGATTCTGTGCCACATGTAAAACATGACATCTCATTTTCTTTACTTTATGCGTCCTTTGTGTATTACAGTTGGTTCTTTATGGGGAATCTTCTTAAAGCTGTATTGTCAATGCATAAGTCTTTACATCTCTTGTACATGTTGGACTTTACGGTGTCTCGCATTGGTACTTTCAAGCCTGATTTTCAAGTTTCTTGACTTATGACCATTTAATCCTGAATTTCACACTAGTTGAAGGAAGACAAAAGGAATTTATGCTGCTTTGATTTAGGAAAATGCCACATCATTGTGACTTTTTTTTAAAAGTATTTTATTGGAGGAAACACGTCTCTTCCTGTGTTTAACACAGTGAAGTGCCCCGTTTTCCCCTAAATGGATTTTTTAGTGAGAAGACAAAAGCCACGGTTTTACCAGAGTTGTGCGGAAAATATTATGCTCAAGTGAAGGGTAACCAATTAGGTTCGTCGGAGCAGCACAGGGTTAAAAAAAGATACAAAAACATTCACCTCTGACGTCATTGGAAATCCCCTTTACATTGTTTCTGACCGACACAACTCAAAACACACCTTTTCAAAGTTCAACCATAAATGTGTTTTATAAGCCTAATACGTTTAAAAACAAACATAAAAAACCCCGAACAAAACACTAATTGCGTCCAGCTAGTTGTGTACAGTTTTAATAAAAATGCTGATTTTGGGAGCGCGTGCGGGAAGTGCAGTCCGCTTTCATTTGTTGCGCAGCCGCAGAACTCTGTTATGGAGAGCCTACCGCTGCGCTCGCGCCGAGCCCCATCGAGCCCGCGGCGCTACTTGTGAGATAAACAGGCCTGCTTTACTTTCAGTTTTGTCTTCGGGGCTTTTTCGCCGCCGATGTGATGCGCGGCTCGGGTCCGGGCCCGCAGCTCTACCGGGGACAGCCGCTTGTTCGAGTCTCCCGTCCGTCTCCTCCCCGCCGAGCAGCGAGGCTGCGCGGCGGAACTTTGGACTCTCGGCTCGTTTGTTGTTGTTTTATGACTGCGGAAGACCTGGGCAACCAGCTGCTCTTAGAAACCGACGCACAGGACTTCTTACGACCTTAACGTAAGGTACCCCCCCCTCCCCAACACCCCTAAATGAAACGTTGACGACTTGGATGAATGTTGAAAGTTCTTCTGAAGTTATGTTGTTGTGTCTCCGACACGAGGGTCGCGGTTGTTTCCTGGTTTGAGTTCTGCCAGGAACGTTCTCTCAGAGATCCGAGCGTTCAGAAGCCGTGTTGCCTCACAGGCCCAAGTCTATAACGCTGCTTTCAGTTTAGATTTCTTCATGAAAGCGTCATGTTGGCTATTGCTGTAAGTACTCTGTGTGTGTGTGTGTGTGTGTGTGAGAGGCGGGGGGGGGCAGATTGCTTAAGCGGAGTTTGGTTGAGCAGAAGCAAATGGATGCCAAACATCCGTCATTATTCAGAAAGGAAGATAAGCACAACACTGATGGATTAGTTTCATTGTTGCTTAGACTTTAAAAGTGATTCAATTTGGCTTATTACTGTGAAATCACATGACCTGTGATCCCTTCAGGTGTCTGGTTGGGGCTTTGATGGCTGAAATGTCACCTAATTGCAGAGCTTGGTGTTGTGAGTGCATTCAGGCATCATTGACAATATGCCATATTACAATGTAATACAATACATTGGGGTTGTTGTCCCCTGATTGTCTCTTTGGGTTCACAGCGCTTGAGTTTTGTTATCAGCAGTTTAACTTTTAAAAATATATGTTCAGTTAAGCGATGACTAAGCTGAAATAATCAAATGCATCTTTGTTTAAATGGTCACTTTTCTGTTTTGATACATCGATTAACTCCTTTGTATGTTAATTTATCAAACCGTCCGTAAAGTTAGAGATGCACCGATCTTGTAAATCTCTTACCTGCTGCTACTGATTTTTGCTGATTTTTTATTTTATTTTTTTGTCTTTAAAAACTACAAAAAGTTGTAAGAACAGCACCGGAGGGATTTCTTGATAGCCTTTATTGGCGTTTGATTAAAAGCAGTAGCTGTAAAACTGAGGTTTATTGTTCAGTCAAAAAGTTAATATGATTCGAGCGTTTTTAAAACTTCATATATTAGTAAATTGCTAGCTGAGCATTACCAAAACATAAGTCTCCTGGTGTATTTCTCGAGAATAAGCCGTAAATTCTTACATTCACTTTGAGACTCTGTGAAGGCAGCCGATATTTCCAGCTTCAGCATGTGGAGGCGGAGTGCTCTAAAGAATATAACAGAACAACTTTGTGTTGGCCCATTTACCCTTCCTCCTCTGTCTCACAGCCCAACTGAACTACGACTGTATGCACACCTGTCCTAGAAAAACAATTTCCTTTTAAAATAACATCTAATGCTGACTTCACTTTTGAAGCACCTTTCAGATACTAAATGTAGCTAACGTATACACGATGTCATAAAAAAGTCTTAAATTTATGTATCCAAAATGAGGGTCTTAAAATGTCTTAATTTCATTAAAAGACAAGGTTAGCCCTTAATGCTTATCACGGTTCTTAAGTGTTGTTCTTATCTGTCTATTTAGGACAAAGTTTGTACATTTCTGTGGAGCTATAGGTCTGACACTCCATCAATACCGGTCTTAAAATGTTCTGCATTTGAGTCGGTGAAACCTGAAGAGACACAGTTTAAAATTTTTTGCTTAGTTACAGGATCCACACTGAAGAGAGTGACATCTCACCAAGGGGTTTGGACTCCATAGCAGTGCGATTATCGCCTACACCTTACCAGACTCTGTAATGAAGAATTCATTCATAATTTAGGCGTCTTATTTACATAAATATGAACCCATCTCAGAACCAGATGCTTAAATTACGTTTAAATGTTCTGCTTTTTGGTGTATTCTTCAACGATTCGAAAATGAGCTTCGGCTGGTGTCAGGAACCATTAATCCCAACAGAATTTTTAAACTCAACCTAACCAGCGGATATTTTGTTTTTGTTTTTCACAGTATGCTTGACTCACAGCCACCGATTTGAGACCACACGATGGACGGTAAAAGGAGCAGTGGAGGTGAAGGAGGGAGCGGAGATCCAGAGGTCGAGGATGAGTTTGCTTGCGCCGGGATGCTGCGGGGATCTCTGACTTCCCTGCACAGCACCGTGGAGCGAATATTCAGGGTGACATTTGGAATCGGAGCGGACGATTTGCCAAACGGGAACAACGGTCAGATATGGCTGAAGCTGCAAGGCCTCAGCACCGACGTGAAAGCTGCCAAAGTAAGACGCCTTTTCCTGGTTTTTGGGTGTTTTGTTCAATGAAGACTTGCTACTTGGACGTTTTCCTTCTGTTGCATGTTCTTGTTGATTGTGGGGAAGGTTTCAAACAATGACGTACACACGGCATCAAGTTTTTGCGACATTGCTGGAAGTAGTTGGATGTCTGAGTTGAGGTACTGGCATGTGTAGCCCGACCCGCCTGTTCACCTTGAACACATTGAATGTAGGTCAAAGCAAGGGCACCAGGTCTTTACAGTAGACAATCTGGAGATCAGAATCTGATGTGGTGTCTGTCAAGCCTGTGAAATGGAACCATGACTCACTAAGCTAATGCTGCAGTTAAGCTGAAACAAGTCAGTGGTTCGATATGG